TTAAAGGGAGATATTGACAAGCTGGAATGTGTCCAGAGGAGGGCGACTAAAATGATCAAGGGTCTGGAGAACAAGCCCTATGAGGAGCGGCTTTAAGAGCTGGGCATGTTTAGCCTGAAGAAGAGAAGGCTGAGAGGAGACATGATAGCCATGTATAAATATGTGAGAGGAAGTCATAGGGAGGAGGGAGCAAGCTTGTTTTCTGCTGCCCTGGAGACTAGGATGCAGAACAATGGCTTCAAACTACAAGAAAGGAGATTCCACCTGAACATTAGGAAGAACTTCCTGACTGTGAGAGAGAGCTGTTCAGCAGTGGAACTCTCTGCCCCGGAGTGTGTTGGAGGCTCCTTCTTTGGAGGCTCTCATACAGAGGCAGGATGGCCATCTGTTGGGAGTGCTTTGAATGCAATTTTCCTGCTTCTTGGCAGGAGATTGAACTGGATGGCCCATGAGGTCTCTTCCAAATCTATGATCTGTGATTCTAATGGCATTTGCAAATAATTCTATCACTATGGCAAACATAAAAGCAAATATTGTGGAATTTTCTGATATTCTGGGTTATATGGCTGTGTGGAAGGGTCCTGTGTTTGCATCAGTTCTGTTTGCATGAGAGAAAGAAAGACTGTGTCTTCAAGTCTCCTGTTGGCTTATGGTGACCTCATGAATTCCATAGGGTTTTCTATCAGCTTTCAAAATTAGACAGGACTTGACCTGCCAGGATTTGAGTTTTTTACAAAAGGTCAAGAGGGAGAGTGTGGATCTAATGTCATTTGAAGGGAGTTCCACAGTCGGGGCGCCACCATGGAGAAGGTACTGTCTCTCATTCCCACCAGTCAAGACAGCATCATTAGCTTGTTAGCTAAGGTGCTATGAGATGCAGTCCACGAACATCTGGAGAACTGCATAATTGTCAAATCTGCTTGGTTATCTAGCCGCATATCAATAACATGGTCAATCAAAAGAGAAACATTCTTGGTGCCTCGGTTTTTAGGTCTGCTCCTGGAATTATTTGGGGCACTGGTTCATAACATTGCATTGGATAGATCTCAGCAGCTCTAGTTTCTTAGATACAGCTATCATAGTTTTCTAAGGGCAAGCAGATGAAAACTGGTAAATGTCATATGTTCTGTATCTCAAAAACTAGAGCTGATAGGGGAAACTGGTGCCATTTTTGGAACCAGCAAATGAATATACTCTGAAAAAGGGCCAACATTTGTGGCACCGAAATGTATGTTGGAAAACGTATTCCAACATACATTTTGAAGGAATGCTGGCCAATAGGCATGGGTAATCCATGTTTCTAAATTATTCTAAAGTATTTACAAAACGAGGGGGTGCTGGTGCTTTCCTTCTACAGTTTTGCTAAAGTTCTGGTGGTGAAAATTTCAGAACTCTAACAAAGCTTTCCAAATGTCGTTATCAATGGCAGTTCCTAATTGGTTCTGTCATAAAAATCACCAATAAAGAAATAATAATGACATTTTGAAAAGTTTGTTAGAGTTCTGGCCAGGAATGTATGGCCTATTTCTATCGTAGATTCAGCACTTAAACCCCAGAATGGATTCGCAGCCCACAGATTAAGGGCCTTTCCACACAGCTGAATAAAACCCCACATTTTCTGCTTTGAACAGGAATATCTAAATAATAATAAATGTAATAATAATAATAATAATAATAATAATAATAATACGAAGTATGGATCGTTGATGTTGCAATCCCAGGCAACAGCAGGATTGAAGAGAAACAACTGGAAAAGCTGACACAATATGAGGATTTAAAGATCGAACTGCAAAGACTCTGGCACAAGCCAGTCAAGGTGGTCCCAGTGGTGATCGGCACACTGGGTGCAGTGCCTAAAGACCTTGGCCTGCACTTAAACACATGCGCTGACAAAATTACCATCTGCCAGCTGCAGAAGGCCACCTTACTGGGATCTGCACACATTATTCGCCAATACATCACACAATCCTAGACACTTGGGAAGTGTCCGACGTGTGATCCAATACAACAGCCAGCAGAGTGTCTGCTGTGGACTCATCTTGTTGTGTTTCAAATAATAATAACAACTTTATTTTTGTACCCCGCCTCCATCTCCCCGAAGGAACTCGGAGCAGTTTACATACAGCACAATGTACATGGAACAATAAATAAACATACAATACCCCTCCCAGTGGCACAGCGGGTTAAACCGCTGAGCTGCTGAGCTTATTGACCAAAAGGTCAGAGGTTTGAATCCAGGGAGCAGCATGAGCTTCCGCTGTCAGCCCCAGCTTCCGCTGTCGGGCACGGTCAGTCCCAGCTTCTGCTGTCAGGCCCTCTCCCTCATCCCCACCAACTGTGCTTGTAACGATGGTGGGACCACAAGGAGGGCCTCCCCAGCAGATCTTAACACTCACGCAGGAACATGGGAGATAACTGTTTAGGGCTTTATACGTGATGACCTGCACTTTGTATTGGGACCTGAAACTTATCAGCAACAAGTGTGGACTCAGATAACCCAGTTCAAAGCAGATATTGTGTGATTTTCTGCCTTGATATTCTAAGTTACATGGGTGTGTGGAAGGGCACACAGACACTCACACTGGTTGTAGTTGTGGATGTCCTCTGTGTCACTGCAAAATAAAAAGCTGGAATTGCTGCAGCCCTGCAAGTCTGCTTCTGCTATATCTTTGTGCCTCATAATCTATCAGTAGTATTCCAAAGGGGCCCCCAAATACATTTTGCTGAATTAGTTCTCAGCTTTAGAACGTGCCTGTGGATGTACAAAATGCCACTCTGTCACTGCTAGGTGACCATTTTCTCTGTCTTTTTTGTTGAGTAGTTGTAGACTTTTTTTTTTGTTGAGGATGAGGTTTCCCATCTGGGATATTTGCCTTACCTATCATTGGACAAGTGAGGGCAGTCTTCCACCGCTCTGAAAGGCTCAGTTGCTGCTTTCATTGTGTATACAGTTTCTTTCAAACTTCATCTGCTTGTTGCATAATAGACCTTTGCTCCTAGTCAGTGGGACAAAAACAATCATAAAACATTTTTTTAAAACTAGGAAGGCAGTCATCATAGACTGGAAAGTCTCAATTTTGCACCACACCAGGGTACACAATGTCTGTGGGTCAGGGGTCATTTCCTTGACAACCAGAGTAGTTTAGCAAAGTTGTTTAGAATAGGTCTCTTCATGCGTTTTTGCAAAGAAGATGTTTTTCAAAGAAGATTAAACTGGGTTTATTTCTCTCCTAGGCCTTCTTTAAGATTAAATTGGTTTTATTTAAAATTAAATTGGGTTTATTTCTCTCCGGGGCCTGTTAAACCTCCTGGGCTAGGGCTTTACTACAGTTGGTAAGTCACCAGCAATTATAAGATCTATCAACTGAAGAGTTGCAAGTTTGAAGCCCCGAGTTAGCATAAGCTGCCGACTGTCAGCCCAACTTACTGTTTACCTAAGCAGTTCAAAAACAGCTTTAGCTGTAATTAGAGAAATTAGGGACCGCTAAAAGCGGGGGAGATGTTTTACAATGCCACAAAGAAAGAAGATCGGAAAATGCCCAGCAACCAAAAGGAAGGAGGAAGTCCTGATGGCTCTTCGTCATAGAGGATGGAACAACAGCACCCCTTGTGGCTGGATTCAAGCCCAACCTCCCATGCCACCAAAAAGCTGGGCAAACAACAACACACCTCCTTCTGTTTTGTCTGTCTATACAAAACGGCATTGAATGTTCACCATGTATGTGTACTGTGATCCGTCCTGAGTCCCCTTTGGGGTAAGAAGGACAAAATATAATTAAAGTATCTTATTATTGTTGTTGTTGCTGTTGTTGTTGTTGTGTTGTGAAGCTATCTATTGATCACCTTCTGCTTGCAAATGACAAAATGCAAATGGAATCCTGCAAGCTTTTACTAATACTCAGAGATGGCTTTACCAATTCCGTCCCCTGAAATAGAGCCTACATCACCTGGTATTCCTTGGTAGTCTCCCCTACAAGTACTGATCTGACCAGATCCATCTTAGCTTCTAAGGGTCGTTCCACACAGCCATATAACCCACAATATCAAGGCAGGAAATCCCACAACTTTAAAAATAGCTTTAAAAATATTCCAGATTTCTTCCTCCCCTTTTTCCTAATCTACAAATAAGATATAGGAATTCATTCATGATTTTTTCAAATTATAATCCGGCCCCCCAACAGTTTGATAAACTGTGCCCTGGCCCTCTGTTTAAAAAGTTGAAGACCCCTGCTTTATCCTATCCATATTACCTACCATATTTTCAATACAGAACAATGTATCATCTGCAAATAAGCTCACCTTCTTCTTTTCTTTTATTGCTACCCATTCTAAGTTCTTATCTTTGGGAAATGTTGACAAGCTGGAATGTGTCCAGAGGAGGGTGACTAAAATGAGCAAGTGTCTGGAGAACAAGCCCTATGAGGAGCGGCTTAAAGAGCTGGGCATGTTTAGCCTGAAGAAGAGAAGGCTGAGAGGAGACATGATAGCCATGTATAAATATGTGAGAGAAGTCATAGGGAGGAGGGAGCAAGCTTGTTTTCAACTTGTTTTCTGCTGCCCTGGAACAATGGCTTCAAACTACAAGAAAGGAGATTCCACCTGAACATTAGGAAGAACTTCCTGACTGTGAGAGCTGTTCAGCAGTGGAACTCTCTGCTCTGGAGTGTGGTGGAGGCTCCTTCTTTGGAAGCTTTTAAACAGAGGCTGGATGGCCATCTGTCAGGGGTGCTTTGAATGCAATATTCCTGCTTCTTGGCAGGGGGTTGGACTGGATGGCCCATGAGGTCTCTTCCAATTCTATGATTCTATGATTCTAATGGCATTTGCAAATAATTCTATCACTATGGCAAACAAAAAAGAAGATATTGTGGGATTTTCTGCCTTGATATTCTGGGTTATATGGCTGTGTGGAAGGGCTCTGTATTTGTATCAGTTCTGGGTGCGTGAGAGAAAGAGACTGTGTCTTCAAGTCTCCTGTTGACTTATGGTGACCTCACAAATTCCATAGGGTTTTCTATTAGCTTTCAAAATCAGACAGGACCTTTTAGGTGTTTAGACCTGAGGCAGAAAAAAAAATATCTTTGACTCTGCAACATTTATTTTCAACACAGTCAAGTGTATTCCGGTCAGCCTAAGGGTGAAGATATCAAAAAACTAGTTTTTCTTCTACACAAGAGGTCAAGCAGACTGGTTTTGGTTGTAAGAGCTCCATGTGTGCGCCAAGACAGGCATCCAGTTGAACTCCCAGACTATTCAGCATGGAGCTTGGATGGGTGCTGAGCATCTTGTTGGGCATTTTCCTGGTCCTCGTCTCTGCATGGAAGTGGAGGTACAAAGAGGGGAGGTTTCCACCTGGGCCAATGCCCCTGCCTTTCTTTGGCAACTTACTACAACTGAACCCCAAGGATCTTCCCAAGTCGTTCATAGCGGTGAGTTGTATCATTTCTGCTGAGAAAAAGTGGGATTGGAGAATCTGCATGTTTAGTTTTTGAGAGTTCCCATTCTTCAGTTTACTTCTTGATAGTATGGCTTCACTATTAGAACACTTTGAGAAAAACCAAGGGCACATCTAGTCCAGTGTCCAATGGTTAATTGGATTCCTCTGGGAAGTCCACAGCTTCGGTTGAAGTCTATTCTTTTCTCCCTCTAGCCTTATTTGCTGTACAGAAGCCCTAAAAACTTACGTGTGGATCGGAATTTTTCTTTGCTTATCCTGGATTCTCAACCTGTTACTGGAGAACCCCAAGTGATATTATTATTAGGGAGATGGATAGGCTGTCTCAGGTGGTGTAGCTACAAGAGGCAAAATAAGGATCTTGCCCCCTCCCTGTAAGAATCCTATTCTCTCAACTAATTTTTTTCTTCAGTCATCAGAAAGAATTGCAGCATTTTAAAACTTTGTCCAATCTTTTAAACATACAGTTTGGGTACCCAAGGAGCCCTCGGTGATGCAGTGGGTTAAAGCACTGAGCTGCTGAACTGGGGGGGGGAGGGGGGGGTTAATAATTTTTATTGCATTTATATTCATTTCATTACAAAAAAAATCTCTATAATTCATATAATTACTTCTTCTCCTTTCCCCAGTTGTGCTACCCCTTGTGCTCCCCATTCCAAGCTTCTTTCCTTAATGTTTCCTCAATAAATATTTTCCATATATTTTCAAAATCATTATCCTTCCTTAGGCCTTTTTAAACCTTTAGATTGCATGTTAATTTATCATTTATTGCTAATTTCCAAATTTCCTTGTACCATTCTTCTATCTTAATTTCCACCTCTCCTTTCCAATATTTTACTATTAGTAGCCTTGCAGCCTTTTCATTTTCCTTCCATTCATCTGTATTATAAGTAGATAACAGGGTGAGTGCAGAGGCGGCCCTAGGTAATTTTCAATGGTAAGCAAACAGTATTCCCCCCCCCCCCCCAACCAATCATTGATATATATTTTCTGTTCGTCATGGGAGTTCTGTGTGCCAAATTTGGTTCAATTCCATCATTGGTGGAGTTCAGAATGCTCTTTGATTTTAGGTGAACTATACATCCCAGTAACTACAACTCACATATGTCAAGGTCTATTTTCCTCCAAGAGTGCCTCAAGAGCACCCCTGGGCAAAATCAAATGCTTACTTTGCGTAATGGGTTGAGCCGCCCCTGTCAATGGATTTATATTAATTTTTTTCTTCATAATACTTTCTATTTCTACTATAACTTTTCCCCAGAACCTATGTGCATATTTGCATTGCCACATAGGTACCCCATTCTTGCCAACCCCTTCAATATTTTTCTGAACAACCCTTATCCATATTGTTTATCTTTGTTGGGGTCAGGTACCATTTCCATACCATCTTGTAGTAGTTTTCTTTAATCCTAATTGATAAATTCTTGAGTTGTCTTGCTCTCCATAATTTTTCCAAATTCCTTTCTCCTATTTTTATTCCCGATTCTTTCTCCCATAGTTCACTTGAACTGCTGAACTTGTTGACTGAAAGGTTGCAGGTTCAAATCCGGGGAGCGGCGTGAGCTCTCGCTGTCAGCCCCAGCTTCTGTCAACCTAGCAGTTTGAAAACATGCAATGTGAGTAGATCAATAGGTACCATTCCGGTGGAAAGGTAATAGCACTCCATGCAGTCATGCTAGCCACATGACCTTGGAGGTGTCTACGGACAATGCCGGCTCTTCAGCTTAGAAATGGAGATGAGCACCAACCCTCAGAGTCAGACAGGACTGGACTTAATATCAGGGGAAAACCTTTACCTTTGCCTTTGCCTTTGCCTTTGCCTTGGGTACACCTCTGGTTTCTCCATCCACTTAATCCGTGCTGTTATCACTGTGTGTGATTTATATAAAATCCTGCTTATTTCTCACCCACCTCACATTTATCATTTTTCTGGTATTGTCCATCTCCTGCAGCTGAAGGACAAATATGGCCCAATATTCACATTGTACCTGGGTCCCCGCCGAGTTGTGGTTCTTTGTGGACATGAGGTACTGAAGGAAGCTCTGGTGGACCATGGTGAACAGTTCTGTGGGAGGGGAGAGGTGGCAATCTTAGACCAGACCTTCAAAGATTCAGGTGAGTCAACTGGATCTCTTGTGACTTCCTAAAAAAGGCCAAGACCCTTCATTGTCAGGCTATGGGCCCCTGTCACACTCCAGGTCTCATTGTTGGGCTGTGATAGTCCCCTTCCCATAGGGCAAAATGAGGGAGAGGGAATGTCAGATAAGGATCTGGTTGTGTTTTCAGAGCTGTATGAGAAATAAGAACATCTTCTAGCCAAATCTTCTCAGATCTTCTAGACATCTAATGGATGAAATCATTAGACTGCCATTGACTTTCCATTACTACAACCATCATCATTTCCATCATCGTTTGTTTTTAAAGGGCCATCCCTGTAGATGGTGTTGTATGCCAGCAATGGAGTGGCTGAGGAATGCTATCACAGTAAATCCTTAGAGGATTTCACATGTTAATAAGGGAGGAAGATGCAGTGGCTCAACAACAATTGGGACTAAAATTTATGGGACTCAGTGGGAGGGACCCTATCCTACCTCCATCAACACTGCTTTACTATTCTATCTGGGGAGGTTCTTGCCTTGCAGGGAGGACCGTAGCCTTAAAAAAAAAGTCAATATCTCTGCCTCCAGGAATGACTTTCTCCAGTGGGGAGTCCTGGAAGAAGCTCCGTCACTTCTCTCTCATCACATTGAAGAATTTGGGGATGGGGAAGTGCTCCATTGAAGAGCGGATCCAGGAAGAAGCGCAGTACCTGCTGGAGAAGTTAAGAAAAACCCAAAGTTGGTATTAAACTTGTCTGGCTTTTCCCATTCACTTGAGAAAATAATATTGGTGGCTTTCTAGCCAGGATCTGGCCAGCAAAGGTGACAGCCAGTGATGGCTCTCTCTTTTGTGCTTTTTTAGGTCTGCCCTTTGACCCCACCTTCCTTCTCAGCTGCACAACTTCCAACATTGCTTGCTCCATTGTCTTTGGCAGACGTTTTGAGTATGAAGACAAGACCTTTCTCTCCATGTTGAGTAGGATGAACAAAATCTATTATGAGATGAGCACCCCCTGGGCACAGGTAAAAAGGCACACCTTAAAGAAGGAATCACTCCTTTGAAATACTGGAGCAAGGTGTCCCACAATGAAAAGCTCTGCTTCTACAGAGGACGATAAACAAAATATCTTTTCCCATACATGACGAGAAAAGTTATGGCAACATATTGAGAACATGTCTCAACAAAATGGTCACTGTGACTCAACAAAAAGGTGCTGTTTTCAGTCCCATTTTTGGCTGCCCCCTGTTCCAAAATCAATTCCCAAAATCAAAAGGAGGGTACTGTTTTCAGTCCAGTAGGATTCGGTCCATTGGTAACAATGGAGAAATTTTAGAGTTTTTTTCTCCATCATTTTAGGCCTATCAGGATGAAACTTGTGTCAGTTGTAGGACACATTTACGATTGCAAGCCTGTCAAGATATGGCCACGGTGGTCCACGCTCTGGTTACATCCCGTATAGACTATTGCAATGCTCTCTACGTGGGGTTGCCTTTGAAGACTGCCCGGAAGCTACAACTAGTTCAACGAGCGGCAGCCAGACTACTAACAGGAGCGGGGTACAGGGAGCATACTACTCCTCTGTTACATCAGCTCCACTGGCTGCCAGTCAGTTTCCAAGCACAATTCAAAGTGCTGGTCCTGACCTATAAAGCCCTAAACGGCTCCGGCCCAATTTACCTGTCCGAACAGATTCTCCCCCATGAACCATCAAGGTTATTAAGATCTTCTGGAGGGGCCCTGCTCTCGGTCCCACCACCCTCGCAATCGCGTCTGGTGGGGACGAGGGACAGGGCCTTCTCGGTGGTGGCCCCTCAGCTCTGGAACTGTCTCCCACTTGAGATTAGAACTGCCCCTTCTCTCCTGACTTTTAGAAAGCTGGTGAAAACTTGGCTCTGGAATTTAGCATTCGATGAGTGAGTCAATAACTCTTGACCACACGGACAGATAGTGATGAATTGTGATTTCATTCTGATGACTTGGCCTTATGTAATTATATGATTGTATGTTAATGTATTTTATGTATAAATAATAAATAAGTAAGTTTCAGAATGTTTCCCCAATCCATTGATTTTTGGGAATCTTTTTGAAGTTTTTACCATAACATTTTTTAAAACACACACAAAGGGGGGGGGGGTCTGGGAATTGAAGTCCCAACCTGAGCACACCACGAGAGGTGAGGAGAATGGACACAGTCAACCAGGCCTCTGATTGGCTGAGAAAGAAATGTGAGAAACACACAGAAAGAGAAACCTCAACTTCCATCATGCCCCGAGAGGAAGCGCAAAGGCTACTTCAATGCCTGCACCACACAAAGTGCTGCTGGGAAAGTGAGTTCCTGGCAGGGCCTTCTCTCACTCACTTTATTTGCCTCAGGTCAGCACTCTGCCCAAGGAGATCAGATAGGATCCCTCTCTCTCCATCTTCTGCAAGGAATTAAAAACTTGGCTGTTCCGCTGTGCCTTTGATTAAGCAGTTCACCAGAGAATTTCCTGACCTATTCAGCTTCTGCACTTTAACATGGTCCCTTTCTGGCACTTCTATCACTTTAATAGTCTAAGGACATTAGCCTCCTAGCCCAGCCTTCCAATCGTCGCACTTTCCCTGGCACTACATAGGATTCATTGCACTTAGAAATTATGAGCCAAACCCATCACTTTTTGCTCAGCTATGATATTGCTTTTAATTGTTTTTATAATGTTGTCTGTTTTTATGTTTATTGATGCTTGATACTGATTGTTCTTTGATACTTATTTTAACCTGTTTTGTTGGGCATGTCCCTTTGTAAGCCGCCTTGAGTCCCTTCAGGAAAATGGAGGCAGGGTATAAAAATAAAGTTATTATTTTTATTTTTTATTTTTATTATCATCATCATCATCATTTTTATGCTGTTAATGGATGATAAAAGCAGTAACTGTTGTTCTTCATTCTAGCTGTATGATATGTATTCTAGCATCATGCAATACTTGCCTGGAGGACACAAGCGTATCTACAACCTCTTGAAGGAGCTCAACACCTTCATTGCTGAGAGAATCAAAGTCAATCAAGAGACCTTAGATCCCAAGAACCCAAGAGATTTTATTGATTACTTCCTTATTGAGATGGAGAAGGTATTTTCTGAAATAAGATGTAATGTTAAAGTGGAAGTTAACTAGGTCTATTCTTTGAGTTCTGGAAACTGGGAAGAATGACTAAAAGGAAAGTGGAATACTCCCAGTTGATACAAATAATTGGTGTACAATTGGCCTCCATGAGTTTGGTTAATATGTTTTCTCTGGAATCTCTCAGACTCCCATTGCTTAGAGTAGAGGACCTAGAGACTCCTAGAACTGACACTTCTCTAGGCATTGGTAGCTAGGAGTTGAACATAGAGACATGCTTTAATGTATGGTTTTTCCACTTTCATGGGGCCCAGCATCCCTAACCCCAGGAAATGTGAAGGGCTCCCTGCATAGTTTGAAGAGCAACAGAATGATCCTTATAACCATTTAGGGCAATGATTCCAAACATTTAGTACTCCAGGTGTATTGGACTTCAGCTTTGGATTGTCTGACATTTTTCCAAGCTGGCTGGAGCTTCTAGGAGTTGAATTCCAAAACACTTGGAGAACCAAAGATTGGGATCCACTGGTTTAGAGAAATGCAGCAGAGGTTTCTATGACCCTACAGTGGGCTTCTCTAGTGGTGAATTCTAATTTTGTAGGCACCCAGACATTGAAACAGGCTTGGTTTATAATCGGATTGGACTGTTGGGAGTCATCTACCTCCAACATCCTATTTACACATCTGATATGGGATAAAAATCAAGACAGCTGTCCCTGCTTCTTCTCCTACTATGCAACAGACGCTGACCATCCAGGTTGGACCTACACTGCCTTATATCCTAGGATCTGATCCCAGATTATCTGCGTTGAACTGAATTATATGAATCTACACCAGTGTTTCTCAACCTATGGGTCCCCAGTTGTTTTGGCCTACAACTCCCAGAAATCCCAACTAGTTTACCAGCTGTTAGGATTTCTGGAATTTGAAGGCCAAAACATCTGGGGACCCACAGGTTGAGAACCACTGGTCTACACTGTCAGATAATCTGAGATAAGAAGATAATCTGGGACCAGATCCTGGTACAAAGCCAGTGGAGATCCAGTCCCAGGCACCAACCCATCACCAACCCATGTTCTACATGGGGTTGCCTTTGAAAACAGCTCAGAAGCTCCAAATGGTCCAGCGTGTGGCAGCCAGGTTGCTAACAGGARCGGCGCTCAGGGAGCACACAACTCCTCTGTTGCATCAGCTCCACTGGCTGCCAGTTTGCTACCRGGCACAATTTAGCCTATAAAGCCCTAAACAGTTCCAGCCCAGCTTATCTATCTGAACGCATCTCTTCCTATGAACCCAGCAGGAACTTGAGAWCGTTGGAGGAGGCCCTGCTCTCGTTCCCCCCTGCTTCGCAAGCACATTTGGCGGGGAYGAGACACAGGGCCTTCCTCTGTGGCAGCCCCTCAGCTGTGGAACTCCTTGCCTAGGGATAATTGATCAGCCGCCTCCTTCCTGACCTTTCCAAAAAGAGTGAAAACTTGGCTCTTCAAGCGAGCATTCAGAACCTCAGGATAAACAGACAAACTTGAATTGGAAAATGACCCGGGAACAGCCAAGACRATCAAAAGGATGAGGATTTGAACGAGAGGACATCGTTTTAAAAAAAAATTATTGTTCATTGTTTTTATGATTTTAAATGTACTGTAATGTTTCTTTTTTGCTTTTTATCAATGTATGTATTTTATATATGGCATCGAATTGTGCTGACTCTGTACACCGCCCTAAGTTGCCTTTGGGCTGATATGGGCGGGACAGAAATAGAGTAAATAAATAAATAAATAAATAAATAAWTAMATAAATAAATAACTTCTATTCCTAATTGACTACTGGAGGCTTTGAAGCCTCAGTCAGTTTTGGGGGCACAGCAGTGAAAGAAGGAGAAACCTTTGCCCACTAGAAAAATATGAAAGCTGCTGGAAGGCATCCAGGTAAAACCTCACAGTCAGTCAAGCCGAGAGACATAGTTATGCCCAGATGATATCCAGCTACCATTCTGCAGATGGAGCAAAGACGTTGTGGAAAGGAGTACTGAATACCTTCTTGTACAACAAGTCATGAACAGAATTATACCTTTGAGCTCCCTTAGATATGATCGTTACATAATAATAATAATAATAATAATAATAATAATAATAATAATAATCTGTAAAAATATCTTCTGCCATATATTTGCTAATTGAGCACCGGTTCTTTTTTTATTTCTATGAAGGAAAAGGGAAACTCTTCCACTGACTTCACAATGAGTAACTTGGCCCTCGTAACTCTCAACTTGTTCATTGGTGGGACAGAAACTGTCAGCTCTACCCTGAGATATGGATTCCTCTTGATGATGAAATACCCAGAAGTAGAAGGTATGGAGGTGGGCAAATTCAAGGGCAATACACATTTTAACCCAAAGCAAGCCCTGCCTGAATTTGGATGTTGCAATAATAGTTTAGCATGCATAGAAATAGTTAATGCCAAATAAGAGCAATATATGGTTGTTGTAGGTTATTTGGGCTGTATGGCCATGTTCTTGAAACATTCTCTCCTGTCGTTTCCCCTGCATCTATGGCAGGTATCCTCAGAGGTTGTGAGGTCTGTTGGAAACTAGGAAAATTGGGTTTATATATCTGTGGAAAGTCCAGGGTGGGACAAAGGACTCTTGTCTGCTGGAGCTAGGTGTGAATGTTTCAACTGGCCACCTTGATTAGCATTTGATGGCCTAACAGTTTTTAGGTGTGACTTGTTACTGCCTGAATGAATCTTTTGTTGAGAGGTGATTAGCTGTCTCTGATTGTTTCTTGTCTGGAGTTTCCCTGTGTTTGAGTTTTGTTCTTTATTCACTGTTATAATTTTAGAGGGTTTTTTTATACTGGTAGCCAGATTTTGTTCATTTTAATGATTTCCTCCTTTCTGTTGAAATTGAACACATGCTTGTGGATTTCAATTACTTCTCTGTGTGCCTTACATGGTAATTGTTAGAGTGGTCCAGCATTTCTGTGTTCTCAAATAATATGCCATGTCCAAGTTGGTTCATCTGGTGATCTGCTATGGCTGACTTCTCTGGTTGAATTAGTCTGCATTGCCTTTCATATTCCTTGATTCATGTTTGGGCAATGCTGCGTTTGGTGGTCCTGATGTAGACTTGTATTGTATATGGCAGTATAAAAACACACATTCCTGCCAGCCACATACACATGAAAGTCACCAGGATCTCTTCCTTCATCATGTCACCCTGAATGTACAATATTGCTTGGCCTCGGAAAACAATGGAGGTTTGATATTCAATATATTCCTATACAGGAGCCCCTGGTGGCGCAGTGGGTTAAACCGCTGGGCTGCTGAACTTGCTGATCGAAAGATTGCAGGTTCGAATCCGGGGAGTGATGCAAGCTCCCACTGTCAGCCCCAGCTTCTGCCAACCTAGCCATTTGAAAACATGCAAATGTGAGTAGATCAATAGGTACCGCTCCGGCAGGAAGTTAACGGCACTCCATGCAGTCATGCCAGTCACATGACCTTGGAGGCTTCTATGGACAACGCCGGCTCTTCGACTTAAAAGTGGAGATGAGCACCAACCCCCTGAGTCAGACACTACTGGACTTAATGTCAGGGGAAAACCTTTACCTTTACCTTATATTCTTATACGAATAACCATCAACCTTTCCAGGTTTTATTTTTGTGCATTTGATAACTCATGGGTTTGGGTATCATGTTTTCTCTAGATTCTTTTGTTTATCTCTATAGTCAGATTCTGGCAGAAGGTGGCCATAGAAGTGGGCTGCAGGATCTAGACATTTCTATAGGAGAGGTGTTTTGCAGCCCTAACCCAAGTAATTAGACCGTCGTGAGACAGGTTAGTTTTACCCTACTGATGAGGCATCGTTGCGCTAGTAATCCTGCTCAGTACGAGAGGAACCGCAGGTTCAGACATTTGGTGTATGTGCTTGGCTGAGGAGCCAATGGGGCGAAGCTACCAGCTGTGGGATTATGACTGAACGCCTCTAAGTCAGAATCCCCCCTAAAGGGAACGATACCGCAGCGCCGAGGAGCCTCGGTGGGTCCCGGATAGCCGGGCCGGCCGCCCCCCCCCCCCGGGGGGAGCCGGCCCCAGTGCAGAGAGCTGTCCGTCTCGGGAGCGGAGCGCGGCCGGAAGGGGGCCGCCTCTCGCCCGTAGTGCAACGCACGTTCGCGGGGAACCCGGCGCTAAATCATTCGTAGACGACCTGATTCTGGGTCGGGGTTTCGTACGTAGCAGAGCAGCTCCCTCGCTGCGATCTATTGAAAGTCGGCCCTCGACACAAGCTTTTGTATAATAAAATAAATTGATATTGAGATTGCTGATGTTGTTGATGATGTTGATTTGATGTCATTTTGATATTGCTAGGTTGCTGTTGGATTATGTTTTGTAATTTGCACCTTATTCTCTACATGTTGTACACCGCTGTGAGTCGCCCCTGGGCTGAGAACAGCGGTCTATAAGCACAGTAAATAAATTAAATAAATAAATAAATAAATAAATAAATGTTTCATATTATATCTCTATCCACACGCATATATTGCATGCATATATTATAATGTATATTGTAAAGCATATATATTATAAGCATAAACAGAAGTACTATATCTGTACTGTATTATAAGCATTATGCTTTACACTATTGTAGCAGAGATACCCTGCCCACAACCATACGGTGACTCAAGGCAGGTTTTTCAAGATGCACCACAAATGACTGCATATAGACTGAATTGAAAAGATGATGCTGAATTTTGCAGTGTCAGTTGAGAGTCAAACATGGTTCCATCTGAATATGAGCAAGAACTTCCTGACTGTGGGAGCCGTTCAACAGTGGAACTCTCTGCCCTGGAGTGTGGTGGAGGGAGCTTTTAAACAGAGGCTGGATGGCCATCTGTCAGTGCTTTGAATGCAATATTCCTGCTTCTTGGCAGGGGGTTGGACTGGATGGCCCATGAGGTCTCTTCCAACTCTTTGATTCTATGATTCTATGATTCTATGAATGCAATATTCCTGCTTCTTGGCAGGGGGTTGAACTGGATGGCCCATGAGGTTTCTTCCAACTCTATGATTCTATGATTCTATGAAAAACAACCAAAGGACAGGTTATTTTGGTTGTCTAGCAGGTTGTTGAAAAAGCAGATGATGGCTGTATAGTGCAATTTTCTGGATTCCAACGAATGCGAAGAAAAGTACAGGTATCTGATCCTGAGCTTCTGAGAGTTTGAGTCTCAAACACCTGGAGAGCCATAAGTTTTCCAGGCCAGTCCTAAAGCAAACTTCCAATAATTTAACACCCTTCTCTGGCTTATATATCATCTATTCCACTGATTGTTCTCCTGGACATATTTTCTCAACATCTTCACAGAGAAGGTCCACCAAGAAATTGATCATGTTGTCGGTCGCAACCGTGTCCCTGCTGTCAAAGACAGGATGAACATGCCCTACACAAATGCTGTCATCCATGAGATCCAAAGGCTGGTAGATATCCTCCCTGTAGCATTGCCTCGCAAGGTGACTGAAGACACAGAGTTCCGGGGCTACCTCCTTCCCAAGGTAGACTCAAGTGGTTTGCATGAGATCTTCATCACTTTCATCCATCACCCCATCATGGACAATTCACTTCTCTGTCTTCTGTTTTTCCAGGACACCAACATCATTACCTTTCTTGGCTCAGCTTTGCATGACCCCAAATATTTCAATGACCCTGAGATATTCAACCCTCAGCACTTTCTGGATGAAGAAGGACACTTTAAGAAGAATGATGCCTTTGTGCCATTCTCCTCAGGTAGGATTCTTTGCCATGTTCTATTTGCTTTTTGCTCCTCAACAGCTTGACTCTGAAGTCTGATTGCAAACATTTTACAAATTCAAAAGCAGTTTAATGGGAGGTCCTTCTTTTTGCATGACCCATAACTGCTGGTGCCTTCTCATTCATACTGCATAACAGCCATTTTCCTGACCTGGTGGCCTTTGTCTGACTTTTCTTCTTCTGTCCCCAGGAAAACGTGCCTGCGTAGCAGAATCCATGGCCCGCATGGAGCTCTTTTTGTATTTCACTACCATCCTGCAAAGCTTCTTTGTGAAATCGTCTCTGGACCCAAAGGACATTGACATCTCTCCGCAACTCAGCGGCTTCTCAAAAATTCCTCCTGTCTACCAGTTGTGTTTGGTGCCGCGCTAATATTTATATATACATTTACTGCCATTTTCCATCTTGAAGTTTATGGCAGGAAAGGTCTTTCAACAACGTTGGTAGTAATCTATCCCCTGGCCATTTTTCTTGAGAACTATTCACAACCAGTGTTTTCGCATTGTTTTAAGCATTACAAAACCTTCTGGGTTGTGCCTTATCTCCCTCTACTGTAGGCTATGCACTGTAGTAAATGGAACTGTGGTTTAAATTGTCCTGCTAAACATGGCTCAATTGGATAGTTCTCATGATCTATCCTTTTAGTATTGTAGAGTCCTATTATTTAGAGGTTTTTAATTAGAGGATGAATGGCCATTAGCCTAGACTGGTTAGATCCGTGTTTCTCAACGTTCCTAATGTTGCGACCCCTTAATACAGTTCCTCATGTTGTGGTGACCCCCATCATAAAATTATTTTCATTGCTACTTCATAATTGTAATTTTGCCACTGTTATGAATCTTCATGTAAATATCTAATATGCAGGATGTATTTTCATTCACTGAACCATATTTGGCACAAATACCCGATACGCCAAATTTGAATACTAGTGGAGTTGGGGGGATTTATTTTGTCATTTGGGAGTTGTAGTTACTGAGATGTATAGTTCACATACAATCAAAGAGCACTCTGAACTCCATCAATGATGGAATTGAACCAAACTTGGCACACAGAAGTCCCATGACCAGCAAAGGTTTGGTGGGCATTGACCTTAAGTTTTGGAGTTGTAGTTCACCTACATCCAGGGACTGTGGATTCAAACCATGATGGATCAAACTTGACATGGATACTCAATATGCCCAAATGTGGACACTGGTGGAGTTTGGGGAAAATAGACCTTGACATTTGGGAGTTGTAGTTGCTGGAATTTATAGTTCTGGCACAATCAAAGAGCATTCTGAACCCCACCAATGATAGAATTGGGCCAAACTTCCCACACAGAAGCCCCATGACAAACAGAAAATACTGGAAGGGTTTGGTGGGCATTGACCTTGAGTTTTGGAGTGTTAGTTCACCTACATCCAGAGAGGAGGAGGGCTTTTGATGGGAGGATTTGCTGTCTGTTTCCAAAAGGAAGAGAAGGACAGGTGGAACCATCTTTAGCCTTCTCTGCCAAAGGGATTCTTAAGACCATCAGAAATATGTGTTCTCTTATGCTCTTGGCGACCCCTCTGAAACCCCCTCACGACCGCCTCAGGGGTCCCCCAGGTTGAGAAACACTGGGTTAGATTGTGTCTTCCTGCATTGCAGATTGGGTTGCATCAATTGGGATCTCTTCCAGCTCTACAATTCCCTGATTCTAATTCTTCAGGTGATCTTTTCCCAAAATAATCTGGAAAATGGCCTGGTTGGTTTTGCTGTTCAAAGCAGCAACTCACATTAGAACCAATGACTGTCTCTCGTGTCTACTGAAAGACAGTTTAGATACAGATGTGGGCAAAACCTTTTAAATACTGAATGAATATACATTTATAGCAAATTTAAGAATGGAGCACAAGTGGGAAGGAATAATAAACAGAATTTACTTTCAGACACCTACTTTATCTAGAATTTTGATAATTGATCAGATACTTCTCAATCGATACCAAAGTCATTGTAACCATTTCAGAAAAAAACAGGGTGAAAAATGTTGACTCCAAGAAAGATTATACTTTATATGATTGTTTGAGTGATGGTGTGAAATAAACCATATGCTATCACAATGGACGGAAAAAATGTGACGACTGGACCCTTATTGTAATGGCCGTCAAGCCAAGCTGAACAAACCAGATAGGCCGAAGGGAACCAACCACTCCGCATCTATACACAAGCCTATTAGAAATGTTAACAGTATTTAGGATGTCCCAGTGTTTAGCATGGGTTAATTTAATTGATTTTCCACGGCTTAGAGCTAGGGATTTGTTGCTTAGATCACAGAGCACTCTTCGGCAGAGAAGGCTAAAGACCTTGCAAAACTACATGATTCCAGTATGAGCTCCATATCAATGTAACCTGCATCTATGAGACCAGCATCTATGGTCTCTGTTCTGGTACAGCTGTACCAGAAGCTCCAATTTTGTTTGCTTTGCATTGAATATTTGTTTGCAGTCCTAAGTTTCAAAGACTCTGCAGATAGGTGACTTCTTTTGGTTGCAGTTATAGGGCAAGCCACCTGCCCATCATTGTTGAGTTTGGTCCTGCCCCTTGCTCAGGGCAATTGGGAAGGGAGGGGGGCCATTTTTTCAGTTAGTCTCAGCTAGGAAGTCAATGTACAGGACGTGTACAGACTTTCTCCTGTACAAAAGTTTCAACCTTTAAGACTTCCCGGGGGAGAACGGTCTTAAGAGCATCTAAAGATTCCCAAAGGTTCCAGGGAAACAGCCTTACAGCCCTGAGGAATTTTGGAGGGAATAACAGCTTTAAACATCAAGATTTCCAGCTAAGTGATTACAGGCCTACTGGTACGTCCACTCGGTTTTGAGACGCGGTTCAGCCCGGTAGTGGATCCACATCAGTTAGGTTTAGGTTCACAGTTAGCCTGGGAGAGGTTTGGAAAGGGATTTTCCTTTAAAGTAAAGCAAAGAAACAGTTAGAAGCCACCAGTTCTTTGAAGCCTGGAAGCATTTGTTTAACCATTGAAGACAAAAGAAGTTTCTGTTTAATTGTTCATCAATAAAAGACTTTATTGTATTTAAGCTCAAGCCTTCTAAAGACAGTTTAATGGGGGGAAATTCTCTAAGGGCTACTCTTCGGGGGCCCTGGCTTCCTGTTGGGCTAAAGTTGCACGTCCTGTTTTAAAAGCACTTCGTTTCAAGCCCAGTGGCGACAGAATAGTCTCATTGATCCACATCAGATCCACATCCCCTTTTGGCATTTTCCACATCCTCCAGCACAATTTTATGGTATCATTGGACCAGAAGTCCTTCATTTCAAAAGAATGCATTATAATTCACAATTTGGCATATCCACATAAAATTTGGGGATCAGTCCCTTCCAGAGATAAAGGTTGTACTGTAATTAAAAGGTAAGGTAAAGGTAAAGGTTTTTGCCTGACATTAAGTCCAGTCATGTCCGACTCTGAGGGTTGGTGATCATCTCCATTTGTAAGCCAAAGAGCTGGCGTTGTCCATATAACCTCCAAGGTCATGTGGCCAGCATGACTGCATAGAGTGCCATTACCTTCCCGCCAAAGTGGTACCTATTGATCTACTCACCTTTTCATGTTTTTGAACTGCTAGATTGACAGAAAATTAAAAGGTACCTAATCCAAATTAAAACTGTATCAAATAACAACTGAATTAAAAACAATGACTTCAAACAGATTAAAAAATAAGGCAGTGGTGTAAAAGTCATTTTTATTAAAATCAGTGTCCAAAGCTTGTTGGAAAAGAAAGGTTGCAACTTATGGAGAGCCATTTTGATTTCTCTATGCAGTATATGGCAAATCTACCCATTTATTTTTAAACTTTTGTCCTGACAGTTAGATGGCCTGCTGTACAAGAAAAATAAGAAGAAACCTGGATGAATAAATGAATAACTCTGAAAGAACTTTAAAAAATAATTGTAGGACATTGGATTGTAAAAAGAACACTGAAAATAAAGATGGAAATACAAGATACTACTTTGAAAAAGTAATTGAGATAGAGTAATCCTAATGTCATTTTAGCAAGAGTAGTGTCAGTCTTAATAATCCTAGACCTCAATTTCTCAAGGCAATAAAAGATTAATAGTAGAGAGGCCATAAAGGTAAATGAAAAACAATGGTCAGCAATGGTGTCTGGTGACTTCAGATCAGCATTGTAGATTTTTCATATGAACCTTTGTAAGAGTTCTCTTTTGTACCTTTTTGTGCTATTTTTGTACAGGTTTGGCAGAATCCTTGCTCTGAAATGGAGCCTACATTTTCACCATTTGCTCTAGAAGGTCTATCCTGCCACATTTGAGGTTAATGGGTCAGGTTGAGATCTTTTTTGTGTGGGTTTGAGTGTGTAAGCCTTCAAATTGCCAGTCAACCCATGGTGCTCCCATAAATATTAAAGGATTTTCTTTTGCAAGGAATATTCAGAGGTGGTTTTGCCATTGCCTTCCTCTGAATATAACCTACTGCTCCTATTTTCTTTGTTTCCCCCATCCAAGTACCAATTCAACCTGACCCTTATATATTTGTATTAGATGTATGCATGTCTGGCTGTGTCTTCAAGTCTCTTGTTGACTTACGGTGACCTCATCAATTCCACAAATATTACCTTTTAAGATCAGACAGGATCTGGAGCCTTCAGGTTATGAGGCAAGAAATAATCTGACTCCGCAATGTCAATTTTTAACCCAAAAAAGAGCTTGTTCTTGCTACCTTAAGGGTGAAGATACCAAAGAACTAGTTTTTCTTGCACATTAGAAGTCAAGCTGACTGGTTTCAGTTCAAGGGAAGCTACATGTGTGTCAATACCAGCATCCAGTTGAACACCCAGACCATTTAGTATGGAGCACGAAGGTGTGCTGACCATCTTGTTGGGCATTTGCCTGGCCATCATTGCTGCATGGAAGTGGAGGCACAAGGAGGGGAGATTTCCACCTGGGCCAATGCCCTTGCCTTTCTTTGGCAACTTACTGCAACTGAGCCCTAAGGATCCCCCCAAGTCACTCCTAGCGGTGAGTTGTGTCATCTCTGTCATAGCAATTATTTCCCTCCTAACTTTATTTGCTCCACAGCATATGGTATTCAGAGATATGCTCCTCATGGATGCAGATAATCCATTTAAACTTCATGGTTCATTCCCACTGATGGCTCAGTCCTCAATTCATTTGCCTAATATGCTTTTAGAGCTGTTCCAGCTAGAGGCCATCACCATTATCCTATATCCTTCTGTGGAAAATAAAATGCTTTAGTTTGCTTGTCCTGGATCTCCAGACTATCATTGGAAAACCTCAAGTTCTACTGTTAGTCAGGAAATGGATGGGTTGACTCGGTGGTGTATCTACAAAAGGCAAAATGCAGATACTTCCCTCCCATAATAAGAATCCTATTCCCCCAAATTCATTTTTCCTTCAGTCCTCAGATTTCTAGGATTGCGGCAATTCAACATTTTGGCTGACTTTTAAAAATAAATAAATAAATAAGCAGGCAAAGTGACCCAAGAAATGTTAACATCTCAACTGGAGGACCAAGAGATGCCTTGAGAGCATCTTATTAAAATCATAAATATTTAGCCTACACATGTTGAAGGATGGTTGAAAAGGAAAAATTCATTGTGGGGATTTTTATTTGGAGGGCAATACCATCATTGTGTTTTTGTCTCTACTCCATAGTTACACCTCTGAATACCTCCATCCACTTAGTCCACATGTGTGTAATAAAGTTTTGCTTCTTCTTCTGTTGTCCTTCTTCTCTTGCAGCTGAGGGACAAATATGGCCCTATATTCACATTGTACCTGGGCCCCCGACGGGTTGTGGTTCTTTGTGGGCATGAGGCACTGAAGGAAGCTCTGGTGGACCATGGTGAACAGTTCTGTGGGAGGGGAGATGTCGCTATCCTTGACCGGAGCTTCAAAGGTTTGGGTGAGTGGACTGGATCCCGTGTGGCTTCCCAATCAAGGTCATAATCCTTCTTGTCTGACTACACCAGCCCCTGTGACCACCCCAGGCCTCGCAATGGTGCTGTGATAGTTCCTTTCCCAGAGGGTAGAAAGAGGGAGTGGGAATGTCAGAGAAGTATCAAGCTGTGTTCTCAGATCCATATAAGAACCTTCTGCCCAGATCTTCTCAGTTCTTCTGGATGTCCAATGGGTGATATCATTGGACTGCAACTGGCTTCTATGATCCACACATTTCACCACCACCATTTTCATCAATGTTTATTTGTTTAGTATCAGCACATAAGATAATGCCAACAACAGGGAAGCTGGGGAATGTTATGAGTGGAGGAAGAGAATAATGATCCCTACAATGACATTTCCCCCAGAAAAAGCAGAATATTCAGGCATATGTTAGAATCTATACTATGAACAGGTTACTAATTGAAAGTTGATAGAACATTATGACCAATAAAATTTAAAAATGTGGCTTGGACTTAGGTTAGTCCGACCTAGAATGGGTCCATTGACTCAAATACTGAATGCTGGATCAACATATAGATGATTCATTGATGCAGTGGCTCTAGACTAACTGGGATTAAAAATTAGGAGCTTTGTTGTAGAACTCAATGAGAGTGCCACTGTTATATCTCTGCCAACATTGCTTAACTGATCCATCTGGGGAGGAACTCTCCAATGGAGGGGAAGAGGGAATGATAAACACAGTGAACTCCAATAACTCTGCCTCCAGGAATTGTTATGGCCAATGGAGAGTGCTGGAAGAAGCTCCGTCACTTCACTCTTGTCACGTTGAAGAATTTTGGGATGGGGAAATGCTCCATTGAAGAGCGTATCCAGGAAGAAGCGCAGTACCTGCTGGAGAAATTCAGAAAAACCAAAGGTCTGTGTTGACTTTGTCTAACTCTTTCCATTGAGTTCAGAAACGAATATTGGAAGCTTTCATAGCCAGGGTAAAGCAAGAGTGGCAACCACTAACGGCTCTTTCTTTTGTGCTTTTTCAGGTCTGCCATTTGACCCCACCTACCTTCTAAGCTGCACAACTTCCAACATTATTTGCTCCATTGTCTTTGGCAGACGTTTTGAGTATGAAGACAAAAATTTTCTCTCCATGTTGGATCTGACAAACAAATTATTTTTTGAGTTGAGCACTCCTTGGGCAAAGGTAAGAAGGCAGAGCTGAAAGAAAGGGTTTTTCTATCCAAAGACCAAAGCAGAGTGATCAGTAATGACAAGAATGACCTCTGCAGAAGATGATACACAAAATAGAGGTGCAAAGAATATTCACAAATATTCTCACGCAAATTGACAGAGCTTGATGAATACTGGCACTCCCTAGCTGGTATCCTGATGTGTTTTGTATCCAGCTTGGAGATGGAAGGCCAAAAGGGGCCATCCAGTTCAACCCTCTTCCATGGAGAAACATGCAATCAAATCACTCCCATCAAATGGTTATCTATCCTCTGTTTAGAAATCTCCAATAGACTCTGGTGAAAGAATCAAGGTGAAAGAAAAAAGCGCAAAAGCTGAGTTGCAGTTAAACATCAAAAAACAAAGATTATGCCAACAAGAATGATTGACAACTGGGAAATAGAGGGAGACAAAGTGGAGACAGTGACAGACCTTGTATTTCTAGGTGCAAAGATTACTGCAGACGCAGACTGCAGCTAGGAAATCAGGAGGCGCTTACTTCTTGGGAGGAGAGCAATGTTCAATCTCGATAAAATAGTGAAGAGTAGAGACATCACTCTGGCAACAAAGATCCGCATAGTCAAAGCAATGGTATTCCCCATAGTCCCCTACAGATGTGAGAGCTGGACCACAGGGAAGGCTGAGCGAAGGAAGATAGATGCTTTTGAACTGTGGTGTTGGAGGAAAGTTCTGAGAGTGCCTTGGACAGCGAGAAGATCCAACCAGTCCATACTTCAGGAAATAAAGCCCGACTGCTCATTGGAGGGAAGGATACTAGAGGCCAAGATGAAGTACTTTGGCCACATCATGAGAAGAAAGGAAAGCTTAGAGAAGACAATGATGCTGGGGAAAATGGAAGGAAAAAGGAAGAGGGGCCGACCAAGGGCAAGATGGATGGATGGCATCCTTGAAGTGACTGGATTGACCTTGAAGGAGCTGGGGGTGGTGACGGCTGCCAGGAAGCTGTAACGTGGGTTGGTCCATGAAGTCACGAAGAGTCGGAAATGACTGAACGAATGAACAACAACAATGGTCTCTGAGGCAGCGTATTCCACCACTCTAACCATCTGGAGGTTCTTCCTAATGTTTAAATGGAATCTCTGTAGATTGAATGCATGGCTACGTGTCCTAGAGCAGCATAAAGCAAGTTGCCCCCTCCTCAATGTGCCATCCTTTCAAATATTTAACTATAGCTGTCATATCCCCTTCTCTTCTCCAAGCTAAACATATCAATTTGGCTAAGGCACTCTACACAGGGCATGACTTCCAGAACTTACCATTTTGGCCCATCTCTAGACACGTTCAAGCTTGTCAGTATCCTTCTTGAATGATGGTGCCCAGAGCTGGACACACTCTTCCAGGTGAGACTGACCAAAACAAAATAGAGTGAGACTGTTGATTCCCTTGATCTGTACACTCTACTCTTTTTGATACAGCTGATGGTCTACTAAAGACCTCTTCACACGAGGCATTTTTGTCCTATTTTGCCACTTTTATGTGTAGCTTGGACATCCGCACATATGGCACACAGCAGGCCCTGCCCACATTCCTGCCAAAGTGCAGAAAGGCACTTCATCCTCCACTATGGGGAGGAAAATGATGTTTGGGGAACTCCGACAGAGTGATCTGCACTTCCCTCCCCTTTTTGCCATGTGATGGCAGAAAGGGCATCCTGTCTCCACCATATGATGAGGGGAGGAGGGAGTGCCTTCCTTTTGCAGTGCAACGGCATGGTCCAAAAGAGTCATGTGAAGCCGTCCTTGACTCCTGTAATCTGGGGTATTCGCTATACTCCTAAGTTTGGTGTCATCTTCAGATTTGATAAGCAGTTATCCAAGTCATTGGTGACAATGTTGAATAACACTAGGCCCAAGACAACACTCATGGCACATCACTGGTCATTTCTCTCCAAGATGAGGAGGAGCCATTTGTCACTACCCTTTGGGTTGGTCCAGTCAACCAATTCCCAATCCAACAAAGAATTGCATGGTATAGCCAACATTCCTATAGCTACTTTGTGAGGATATCATGGGGTCCTTGTTGAAAGCTTACTGAAATCAAGATATGCCACATCTACAGCATTCAATGTATCTACCAAGACTGTAACTCTATCAAAAGGAGAGAGAGCATTAGTTTGGCAGGCCTTGCTTTTGAAAAACCTGTGTTGATATTTATTAAGCATGTTAATGGATGATAAAAACCGTAATTGTTGCTCTTCATTCTAGCTGTATGATATGTATTCTGGCATCATGCAATACTTGCCCGGAGGACACAAGCGTATCTACAACCTCCTAGAGGAGCTGAAAACCTTCATTGCTGAGAAAATCAAAGTCAACCAAGAGACCTTAGATCCCAAGAACCCAAGAGACTTTATTGATTGCTTCCTCATCGAGATGGAAAAGGTATCTGTCACTCAAAGAAGAAGGGTGCAGTTTTCAAGTGGACATCAACTGCTCTATTATTTGAATCCTGGAAAGTGAGGATGATGAAGAGGAAAGTGGAACAACCCTATTTGATACTAATTGTTGGTGTAAAGAATGCCCTCCACAGATTTGATTAATGTGTTTTCTCTGGGTATTTCTATCTCTTCCATTGTTGCAAGGTAACCTCAGAGTTGTGGTGGAGAACCTAGAGGTGCCTAGGACAAACTCTTCTCTGGGCATTTGCAAGTGAAGGTTGACCATAGAGGCATGCTGGAGCACCTAGAAAATCCTAGAGAAATGTTCTCTCTGGATTTTTAAAAGAGATCTTTTATTAATTTGTGGTTTTACCACTTTCATGAGGATCCTGCATTCCTAATCCCTGGGAATGTGGAGAACTATTGCATTGTATTGTCGAAGGCTTTCATGGCCAGAATCACTGGGTTGTTGTAGGTTTTTTCGGGCTATATGGCCATGTTCTAGAGGCATTCTCTCCTGACGTTTCGCCTGCATCTATGGCAAGCATCCTCCTACCTCTGAGGATGCTTGCCATAGATGCAGGTGAAACGTCAGGAAAAAATGCCTCTAGAACATGGCCATATAGCCCGAAAAAACCTACAACAACCCAACTATTGCATTGTTTGGAGATCAAATTAGAATAATTCTAATGGTGCTTTAGGATAAATATTTGCCAACCAGGTATTGTGGAATCCAGTTTTTAGAATTCTTGATATTTGACCAAGATGGCTGGAACTTCTGGACACTGAATTCCAAAACACCTGGAGGTCCAAAGGTTGGGATCCACTGGTTTAGGAAAATGTAGCAGACATTTCTGTGGCCAGAGAATGGGACTCCCTAATCATGAATTCCTCATCTCTAATCACCCAGGTGTTGAAGCAGACTAAGGCCCCTTCCACACAGCTGAATAAAATCCCACATTATCCACTTTGAACTGGAATATATGGCAGTGTGGACTCAAATAACCCAGTTCAAACCAGATATTGTGGGATTTTCTGCCTTGATATTCCAGATTATATGGCTGTGTGGAAGGGCCCTAAGATCCAGTTGGGCTGCTGATGAATCAACTACCTCCACCCTCATATTTATACTTGTGAATATGAATTTAAGCTTCTTCTTAAACTATTATACAATGATCACCAGATGACCATAAAGACACCAATCCATCATTTAACTATTGTTCAATTACAGGAGTCTTTCAGTCATCATTCATCTTTTTGTGCACATCAGGGGAAGAAGTATAAACTTTTGCCCCCCAGAAGTTTGTGATATTTTCCCCCTTTCTTCTCTGGTTTCTGGATGGCATCTGCACAGAGACTCACAGTAAGCCAGGCCCAGAGGCACAGCTATACTCAGAATACATTCAACTACCATTCTGAAAAGACATACTTGATATATATTTTTAAATGCTCCTGGTAGGTCATCAATAGGACTGTAGCTTTGGTCTCCACTAGATAAGACAGACACCAATCCATCCATTAGGTAAAAATAATGCCCTGTAATAATATCCTCCACCATGTGTTTGCCAATTGTAGGTCACCTCTTCCTTTGTTCCTTTGAAGGAAAAGGGAAACCCTTCCACTGAATTCACAATGGACAACTTGGTCCTCACAGTTCTCAACTTGTTCACAGCTGGGACAGAGACGATCAGCTCCACCCTGAGATATGCACTCCTCTTGATGATGAAATATCCAGAAGTGGAAGGTATGAAAGGAGGCAAATTTAAGGATTTGCTGTTAATTAAGAACAAAATATCCCTGTGAGGTAAACAAATAACAATTCACATGTTGACGCTGCCAACAACTCACATATTAAAGTCACCAGGATCTGCTCCTTGAAACCCTGTGCCACCCTGAACACATAATACTGCCTCATGTTTGGGAAATAAGGAGGATCATGATTTATAAGTCATTGGTGAAAGAAAACCAAACATTACCAGAGATTACTATTTGGGGCTAAAAGAAAAATCTTGCCCGAAAGCTCAGCAAAATACTAGCTCAGCAAAAGTATGATAGCTGGGACCCTACACCATGCTACTTGTGCAATGCAGGCCAGAAATAATGAAGGGAAGATGTGGGAGGGAAAAAAAGGGGGGGGGGGGAAGGGAACGACAACAAACAACCAAGTTTAATGCTTAAGGCGAGTGAAGTAATGTTAGAGATATTCACTGTTAAATGATAAACAACGGTTTACGAAGACAGTAAACAGGATGTAAATGTTTCCTTTTCCCCTTTCTGGCAAACAATGTTCCCTCAACTCTGACGCAGCTGCGTCTCTCACTCGCTGCGATGTCTCGCGCACATGTTCCCCTCGTTAATTTGGATCCACGTTGTGCAACCAGTGTAGGGTCCCAGCTATCATACTTTTGCTACAAGCCCAATTGACCAGCGGTCTGAGATTACTGGCGTTCCCAATTTATTTGGCAGAATAGGGACCAGATTACTGACAGAATTGGTGGACAAGCAGAATCCAGTCTTGCATACATATATATAACCCAGTGTTGATATAACAATTTTTTTAAAAAAATCAGAGTCAGGCAAAAAAAGCAGTTTTTGTGGTTGCAAAACTGTCTCAAATACTGTTTAGGTGAACATTTATTACTGTCTAGAGAGCAAGACATAGAGAAACAGATTGTCAAAAAAGCCTGCATAGGACCATTTTCTTGGTTCCCATGAATGTGAAGAATTGGGAAGGGATTCAACTATTGGATCAGGCTTTGCTTCTGTGCTCTATGGGGCATGACGCTCAGCTATCCTGGGAGCTTCCAATACAAGTGTTGCAGCAAGGACCAGTGACCTCCCAATGAGTCACATTGCAATATCAGGAGTTCATGCCAACAAGAGAACAGTATAAATGCACTGAGACTACTTTTTCTGAAACTTTCCAGACTGAAAACTTGATGTCTTCAGATCCCACGCTCCAAGGCAAACTCCCAAGGATATAATAACATTCCTCTGTCTTGCATATCATCTTTTTCATGGGTTACTCTCTGTGATGTATTTTCTCAATATATTTATAGCAAAGGTCCACCAAGAAATTGACAGTGTTGTTGGTGCCAACCGTACTCCTGCTGTCAAGGACAGAATGAACATGCCCTATACAAATGCTGTCATTCATGAGATCCAAAGGGTGGTAGATATCCTTCCCTTAGGAGTGCTACGCAAGGTAACTGAAGACACAGAGTTCCGAGGTTACCTCCTTCCCAAGGTAGGCACGAGTAGATGGTACAAAGTGGGCAAGAGGGAGACTATGGGAATACGTGTGTGAGAATCACCTTCCCTTGTCACATCTTCACTGACAATTCACTTATCTGTCTTGTTTTTCTAGGACACTAACATTATTGCCTTTCTAGGCTCAGTTTTGTATGACCGAAAATATTTCAGTGACCCTGAAATATTCAATCCAGAGCACTTCCTAAGTGAAGAAGGACACTTTAAGAAGAATGATGCCTTTGTGCCATTCTCCACAGGTAGGGCTCCTTGCCATGTTCTGTTTGCTTTTTACTACCCTGGAACTTGACTGCAGTTTGATGGCAAACTTCTTCCAAAAAATAAGAGCAGTTCAGTGTGAGATCCTTCTTTGTGCACAACAACAGAGCTTGGCGGATGCACATTACGGGACAAGGTCCTTCCTAGAAGGCCATTCCCAGAAGGTGTTGTTGGGGGACACCTGCTCAACCCCACAGCCATCGACTTGTGGGATCCCGCAGGGAACAATACTGTCTCCCATGTTGTGGAGACAGTATTGACTGCAGTTGACTGCAGTTTGATGGCAAACTTCTTTCAAAAAATAAGAGCAGTTCAATAGGAGATCCTTCTTTGTGCACAACAACAGAGCTTGGCGGATGCACATTATGGGACAAGGTCCTTCCTAGAAGGCCATTCCCAGAAGGTGTTGTTGGGGGACACCTGCTCAACCCCACAGCCATTGTCTTGTGGGGTCCTGCAGGGAACAATACTGTCTCCCATGTTGTTTAACATCTACATGAAGCTGCTGGGAGAGTTTTGGAGTTCAACATCACCTGTACGCAGACAACGTTCAACTCTATCACTCCTTTCCACCTGCTACTAAGGAGGCTGTTCAGGTCCTGAACCAGTGTTTTGCAGCTATGATGATTATAATAACTCCTTAAGGCCGTCTGGGCAGGGGGTCAAAGAATCCCACCGCTGCCACCAATTATAATAACTTAGAGAGGTTATCAAGGCAGGGGGGTCAAAGAATCCCACCACTGTCTTTCCTGACAATAAGGAATTCACACCACTTTGGCTCTTATAGTGTTTGAGGGGATGTCTCGTTATGTAAAACCTTCGCTGCCACCATAAACTAAAGAAACACGAACCCTCTAGCTATTTAAAATGTTAAAATGCTGTTTAAAATAATAAAAGGCTTTTTACTCCACCAAAATACTGTGTATTATCAAGGGCTTTCTTTGAGGGGAAAACAGGAGAGGTTGATTCAACAAGGAAAATGACTCCAACCAAAAATGGCACTTGACTCAGGCTTCAATTTTTAAAAATAACAAGAAAGAGTTTATTGAATACAAGTTACAGAATAAAAGTGAATGCAGGTTCAGAGGCTTGGCTGTTACAATAAAAGTGTTCTTGGTTCTTAGAAGCGTAATGGTTACTTGAGAGAATGGTTCTTTTCTTTGTTACAATTCCTTAACACAAAAACCCAGTTATTTTTCTTCTCTAAAAATAGCTGTAACTCAGTCTGCCACAGCCTACTTTGCTGTGCAAACTACAGGCAAGCTGCCTATTCCTCACAGAGACTCCTAAAACTCCCAAATCCTACTCTAACCTCTCTCAGAACTCTACTGCCCTAAACTAAAAACTGAACTGTCAAAACTAGGCTGTTCTCTTTCCCTCCATCTGACTAACTCCGCCCCTCTTTTCCAAACCAATCCTGGCTGTTGCTGGGCTGGCTCAGGCCTAGGCCACTCCCCCTCTCTGAACTGGAGCTTTTCCCTAAACTAAGATGGCTCCAGCAGCTCTCTGCCAGGCCTTCTAAGCTGAAACTACCTAGCCTATCTCTTCCTGGGCCCTGCCACCCTGGCTGGCAAGGTAAGGGATCTTTACAATGATCTGGATGAGGGAGAACAAATTAAAATTGAATCCACACAAGACAGAGGTACTCCTGGTCAGTCATAAGGCTGAATAGAACATAGGGTTACAGCCTGTGTTGGATGGGGTTACACTCCCCCTGAAGACTCAGGTTCACAGCTTAAGAGTCCTCCTGGACTCATTTTTGAGCCTGGAACTCCAGGTCTCGGTGGTGGCAAGGGGAGCATTTGCACAATCAAATCTTGTGCACCAGCTGCGCCCATACCTTGGGAACTCAGACTTGGCCATGGTAGTCCATGTTCTGGTTACATCCGGTATGGACTACTACAACATGCTCTATGTGGGGTTGCCTTTGAAGAGTGTTTGGAAGCTTCAAATGGTCCAACATGTGGCAGCCAGATTGCTCACTGGAGCGGCGTTAAGGGAGCATACAACTCCCCTGTTACACCAACTCCACTGGCTGCCAGTTTGCTATCAAGCACAATTCAAAGCACTGCCTTCAGCCTATAAAGCCCTCAACGGTTCCAGCCCAGCTTACCTGTTTGAATGTATCTCTCCCTATGAACCATCTAGGAGCTTAAGATCGTCTGGGGAGGCCCTGCTCTCAGTCCCGCCCTTTTCGTAGGCACGACTGGCAGGGATGAGAGACAAGGCCTTCTCAGCGGTGGCCTCTCGGCTGTGGAACTCCCTCCCTAGGGATATTAGATAGGCCCCCTCCCTCTTGACCTTCCAAAAAAAAGTGAAAACGTGGTTATTTGAACAAGTCTTTGAAATCTAGTACAATAGGCAAACACAGAATTATGTGACATTGAATATTGGAATGGCTCAGAAGATTATTTTGGAAAACGAGGCTAACAGTGAAGGTATCGGTTTTATATATTGGTTTTATATGCTTTTTTTTAAAAAAAAAGTCTTATTGTATGTACTTTAATTCTGTTTTAAATGTGGTTCTAAGTGTATATTGTTAAGGCATCAAATGGCTGCCTGGGTGTAAGCCACCTTGAGTCACCTTCAGGTTCAAGAAAGGTAGGCTAGAAATATCGTAAATAAATAAATAAATAAATAAATAAATAATAAAGTGGGTTGCATCAAAAGATGGAGTTCTCATTCCCTCCAAATTGCCAATTGTACTTAGGGTGCCAGACTGAAAACTGGAGTAAGCTCCTGCACAGAAGTCAGAAAGCCAGAATTTTCGTTGGAGCAGATTGTTACACAACTGAATAACAAGCAACAAGTGCTGAAATTTCCTCTTCTGTGCAACTCTTAAAGGGGCAAAAGCCCCCTTCAGGTTTTACTCTGGCAATCCTAGGATCAGTACTAGCAATGTGTCCAAAACCAAAGTTGTTGTTCTCATTCATATTAACAAGATAAAACCTAAAATACAGCCCGTACTGTGAAAAAGAAATCATTTGTTTTACATAATAAGAAATAGTTGGTAGACTATTTGGACAAAACATAGATCCACAATACTGTGTTTACAAATGCATTAAGGATAAACAGTAAGAAATGGTTGGCATCATATTACATTTCAATAATCATTTACAATTGTGGTCCTTGCTCCATATTTACGAATATGTAGTGTTACTAAAAATTGAGCAGTTACAGTTTGTAACTCTAGGTTATGAATTCTTCCTTGAATTCAGAATGGCATCCTTGGCCCATAGCAGTTGATGCCTTCCAGTTCATAGTGTACAACAGGGACCAGGCTCTCTAGCCATTTTCCTGACTTGATGGCCTTTGTCTGACTTTTGTTCTGTCTCCAGGGAAACGTGCCTGCGTAGGAGAATCGATGGCCCGCATGGAGCTCTTCTTGTATTTTACCACCATCCTGCAAAACTTCTCAGTGAAATCGTCTTTGGCCCCAAAAGACATTAACACCTCTCCCCAACTTAGTGGCCTTTTAAAAATTCCTCCCATATACCAGCTGTGTTTGGTGCCTCGCTAATCTTGCCATATCCCCTCTTGGGTTTCAGAGCAGGATGGGTTTTATTCACAAAATTGTTAGTTGTGTATCTCCCAGCCAGCTTTCTTGTGAGCCATTTCCAAACACACACTTCTGGCAAACTCTAAAATTGCAACAGCACAACAACAGAGAGGAAGCAGGCAGGGACATCTAATTACCTCTCAACAAAAGTTTGCCCCAGGCACAGTCAGGCCATTGTATGCTAATCAAGGTGGTCAGTTGAAACATTCACACCTAGCTCCAGCAGACAAGAGTCCTTTGTCCAACCCTGGTCATTCCACAGATATATAAACCCTTTTTCCTAGTTCCAACAGACCTCACTACCTCTGAGGATGCTTGCCATAGATGCAGGCGAAACGTCAGGAGAGAATGCCTCTAGACCATATAGCCCGAAAAAACCTACAACCCACTTCTGGCATTGTTTTAAGCTGGGGGAAAACCCACCCTGGATCATGCCTTACCTTTCTCTGTTGCAGACTACACATTGTAATAAATAGAAATGTTGATTCTACTGAACTGCTAGACATGACCCATTAAGATAGTTCATATGCCAATTTTTTTTTTAAAACTTTGTTTTGCGTTTTTAAATACATTTTAATTGTATCCTCAACTCACGTCTGACATGATAGATAAATAAATAAATATGCTCTCTGCCTTGGAGTGTGATGATGTCTCCTTCTTTCGAGGCTTTTAAAGGCTGCATGGTCTTCTTTTGGGACTGGTTGGATTGTGCATTTTTGCATAGCAAAATGGGGTTGGACTGCTTGGATTGGGATCTCTTCCAACTCTACCGAGAGTTATCTTTTCCAAAGGAGATAAAGACAAAATTATCAGGATTATAAACAATTTGACCCAAATAATATTTTAAAATGTAGTGGGGGAAACCAGCCTACATTCCAATACAGATATATGAAGTAAACTATTTCAAGAAGCAACTAATCTATGTCCCTTGCAGGCAGAAAGCTGTAACTAGTTCCTTCCAGTCTCTGCTACCATTGCATATGAAGAACATTGAAAAATGTCACAACTACAGATTTTGCAAGTGATAATGAAATTTTAAAAAGAGCTTTCTCAAACTGAAATCAGAATTAAAGAGGATCTAGTAATATATAGTAAATCCAAACAGACCTTGATATCCGTAAGACAGATTGCCAGAAAAGAACAAGACACATAAACTGAAGGAAGAGATTTATTTATTTATTTTATAAATAAATACACCTCTTCCTTCACTTTATGAGTCTTGTTCTTTGTGTGTCTTGTTCTTGATATCCACAAGACAGATTGCCAGAAAAGAACAAGACACAGAAAGTGAAGGAAGAGATGATATAGTACAATTCAAAAAGTAGGAGTTGAAAAGAAAGAGATAATAAAGGAAACAGAGGGAATCAAAGAAACAGATTCCTATAAATAGACTATGTACATAGATGGGTTCTGAAGTAGAAAAGTAGTACATATTTATTTTCAGACTGAAGAAAAACAAAGTATTCAATACAGAACTAAGGGGTGAAAGATATTTAAACTTTCATCCTTTGTCCAAACACACAAGCAAACCTGCATGAACTATATGAGAGCCCATTTCAATGGGAGAAACATGTTTAAATTAAATGCACAATTTACTATTTGAAAGATGACTTCCTCTAAAAGAAAATAATTGATAATATGCCGGGATAAATAAATGGAGAACTCTAGAAGAACTAAAATAAAGTGAAGACTTTTTAAAATGCAGGGTAGTAGATTGGTGAAATAAGAATATTGAAAATAAAGGGAGAAATACAACAAGATATTCTATTTTAAAATGTTGAAATACAGTAAAGCTAATCAAAATTGAAAGGGAAAGAATTGGGGGGTGTATTGGATAATTATGACAATTGAATTATAGTCAAAATGCTCAAACTGTTTGTATTAATATTACTTGTGTGTAGGTTTTGCTCATAAGTATATTTTTCTATATTTAACAGAAGTTGATTTAAGTAGAAGAATAGACTTGACAGGTGGATAAATAAATGGTGTTTTAATATATATTTCTTTTTTTTTAATCTTATCTCTCTTTATAAAAAGGGTGCACAGTGGCGGGGGAAGGAGGGCAAAGGAATTGTTTTAGTGTTTTGTTTATTTTCTGTCAGTGTTTGTCTTTTCTACTTATTTATTTTTAATTGGGGGAATTAAGCTGTATTTTTTAAAAAAAATCAATTAAAAATTTAAAAGAAGTCAATCTTCATTACAACAGACAGAACAAAGATACCTGTGCTTACACAAGATGGAGAGAAATAATCAGGCAGCTGCTCCATGATTAAAAGGGAATGGATCCCTGTGGATTTCAATGGCTGATACTATTTGGGCCAACATACTGTAGTGGTTTGAGCTTTGAAATGTGCCTCTGAAGACCAGGATTCAAATTCCTGACCTTCCATGAAAACATCTAAATGACCTTGGTTAAGTCACACCTAACCCATTTAAACAGGAAGGCAAAAAAGGAGCTGAGGAGAGACAAAGCAAATCTCTCTTGTAGAGCTGTGCGTGGTACCCGTTTATCCCATTTCATTCATTGTTTCATTCTGTTTGTTTCATTCGGGGGGGGGGAGGCCACACCCCATGGTATGAATATAACCTCAAAACGAAAGAAAGCGGGAGCAGGTACTGTTTCCTTGTCTTCTTTTTGGTCCACGTAACGCTCCTAATGTGGCCTGGCCCAAGCGGAGGAGAATGCCATCCGCCTTACCTGCTGCCAGCCTCACCTCACCTACCCACCACTCACCTCTTCTGCATATGGAAAGCCTCACAGAAATAGTGGTACCATAAAGTAACTCTGATGCTTTTAATCCAGGTTGTAATGAAGGATATAAGGACAAACCATGCCATTGCCAGAAATGATGGGAAGGGGAAAGAAATTCCCCCCCCCCCAATTGCTGCCAGTTAAAGAAAAAGTGAAATAGTGGGGCTTGGCACTGGGTTGCATGTGTGGTATGTGGAGCTTCTTTGGCAGGAAGGAATGGTGCTCTTCCCTGTCTCCCTGCTGCTGCTGCTGCTGCTGCTCCTGGAGAAGTTAGAGGGTGGTGCCAGCAAGGGGAAAGAGGGAATGTTTTGAAGGAGATTTTATTTATAGTAAGAAAACAATCCTTAAAAATCAGGGGATGACCCAAACATTATAAAACTTGGTGGGCTAAGAGTGGTAGATGTGCCCTTCCTATGTGGCAATTTTCAACCCTCTAACCCTAAAACTGAGGGGAAGGGCAACCTGGGGACTTGAAATTTTGACCAAGCATTATGCTTATGCTGGACATAATACTGGCAGATTTGCAACTACCCAAAATCTATAACCACCCTGCAGGATCTCTTCAAATTTGGCACTATCAGTGCAAATAGTAAAATCTACCAAAGTTCAAAGCCAATAGTATCATCTGAAAGAGAAAAATTTGCTCTACAAGACTGATATGTTTTTGTTTTGCAATGCGGCCATTAAGTATCCATTTACTTAGGTCTGACTACCCTTCAGATAAGGGGGTCTAGATCAGCAACTATTGCAGTTAGAGGCCTCAAATTTTGGGAAACTTAGTTTAACACCTGATTGGCACTACAGCCAGAATTTTAACAAAATTGGAGACATGATAGTAGGAAAATTTCTTCCACTTGGCATGGAATGGCCCAGCTCAAGTCCAAAGCAACTGGGTGGCCAAAATTCCAGTATTAATTCGCTAAACTGGAGGCTTCAATATTCAATCATCTTTTTTTGTTCTCTACAATTCTGCTGTCCACACCAATAATCCAAACATTCCTTTTCTCAACCCTAGTTATGTATGGCGTATTATGTTCTAATTGCTTACCAGCTTTAGTCTTAGAATTCCATAAGATTGTCGTTATACCACTTAACACTATTATTGTTGTTGTTATGATGTCTTATTTGAATGAAGTGTATGTTATGCTTTCTCTGTTTTGTAAAGCAAGCAGATAAAATTCATGTCCCCGCCTGCCAAAGTTGGGCCTTGTCCACCTTCAAAGCAGGTCAGGGGTCCCTGTTTTGGACAGATAGGAAAGAATGTTGTTTAAGAATGTGGCTGAGCTGGTGGATGGACATACTCTGATGAGAGGCTTCTCTTTGAGTAAGCTCTTCTTGCTTCATCCATGGCTTGCTGAGCTTGGCTGAACCAGCATATTTTGCTTAGAAGGGCTGGTGCAGATTTTTAACCTAGAGTTAGAGATTTGAAACTATTCCATGATCAGTAAGACAATGTATTCTTAATGTAAAACCAAGTAATTTCTGGCAAGACACATTTAAAAGAAGGTAGTTGCAGGATAAAGGAGGTCCAGTCAGCTGTTGATCTTGAAGCAAGAAAAATGATGCTAGCAAGCAAAGCAACAATCAGAAGCAAAGCCCTATACAGATTTCTTATCACATCTTTGTTTGCTGGCAGAAGGGGCTGGAAACATCATCCTGTTTCTGCCTTGATTGGCAAGTGAATGGATCTCATTGCATAATGCAGTTGCTGGGTGTAAAGGTGGCATCCAAATCTTTCCAAGATGTGGTGGAAGTCTTTCTAATAGGTCACCTTCTGAAAAGTAGCCTTTCTGATATTCATTTAGCAAGAGTGGTTTGGCATTGTAGATTTTAATGTGAACTTTGTAAAAGCTTTATTTTGTGCTATTTTTGTATTGGTTGGACTTAGTTTATACTATTCCCCCATCCAGTGGTCCATGCCCTGGTTACATCCCAAATAGACTACTGCAACACACTATACATGGGGTTGCCTTTGAAGACTGTTCAGAAGTTCCAAATGGTCCAATGGGCGGCAGCCAGACTGCTCACCGGAGGAGTGTACAGGAAGCACAAAACTCCCCTGTTACGTCAGCTCCACTGGTTGCCAGTCTGCTATCGAGCATAATTCAAAGTGCTGGCTTTAGTCTATAAAGTCCTAAATGGTTCTGGCCCAGCTTATTTGTCTGAGCCATCTCAGAGTTTAAGATCGTCCAGGGAGACCCTGCTCTCGGTCCCACCTTTTTCACAGGCGTGACTGGTGGGGATGAGAGACAGGGCCTTCCCGGTGGTGGCCCCTCAGCTGTGGAACTCCCTCCCTAGCTCAGCCCTCTTCCTCCTGACCTTCAGAAAGTGAGTGAAGTCATGGCACTGGGATCAAGCCTTCGGAGAAGAACAATAGTGCAATAGATTAATCGGAATTATATGCAATGACTATCGGAATGACCTGGACTGTGATTGCTGATTGTGTTGTTTATAGTGATAGTAATGTTTTATAATGTTTTAATGTATTTAATGCTGATTTTTATTTTAATTTAAATGTACTTTAATTGTTACTGTGGTTAAGGCATTGAATTATTGCCTATCTGTAAGCCGTCCTGAGTCCCCTTCGACATAGAGAAAGGCTGGATATAAATATCATAAATAAATAAAAATAAATCAATGCTTAGGTTAGTATGTATTTGTGTTAGGAGAATATGCATAACTAAGCCTTCAGGTGTCTTGTTGACTTATGGTGACTTCACAAATTCCATAGGATTTCCTATTAACTTTCAAGAGCAGACAGGATCTAGAGCCTTCAGGGTATTGAGATCCGAGGCAGAAAAAAATGTTTGCTTGAGTCTGCAACACACATTTCTAGCCCAAGGAAGAGCCTATTCCTGACACCCCAAGGGTGGAGGTTGCAAAAAAACCCCTTGTTTTTCTCCTAAATATAAGAGGCAAACCTGGCTTGTTTTCAGTTGAAAGGAAAATACATGTATGTGTCAAGACTGGCGTGCAGTTGAGTGTTCAGGCTATTCACCATGGAGCTTGAATGGGTGCTGAGCATCTCATTGGGCATTTGCCTGGTCCTCGTCTCTGCATGGAAATGGAAACACAAGGAGGCGAGGTTTCCACCTGGGCCAATGCCCCTGCCCTTCCTTGGCAACCTACTTCAGCTGAACCCCAAGGATCTTCCCAAGTCCCTCCTGGCGGTGAGTTTTGTCATCTCTGCCATGGAAAAAATGGGATTGGAAGGTCTGCATGTTTAGTATTTAAGTGTTCCTATCCTTCCCTTTTCATCTTGATAGTATGAGAACACTTTGAGAAAAGTCCAGAATTCAACCTGTGCGAGCATCTCATGGACAACTGGGTTCCTCTGAGGAGCCCACAGTTTGGCTTAAAGGGAATTCTTCTCTCCCCCTTTCCTTATAGCATGTGATACCCAAATTTACATTTCTTCTGAATGCAAATAGTCCATATAAACTTTATGGTTCATCCCCACTGATAGGTCAGTCTTCCATTAATTTGTTCCAGCTTAATTTGTGTGCAAAATAGAGTTCTGTCCTTTGCCTGTCCTGGATCCTGTCCTATCAAAGGACAAGGAGAGGGGTGGATTGTCTGAGGAAGTGTAGCTAAACAGGGGCAAAAAGAGGGTATTGCCCTCCCCCAGTAAAGACCCTACTCTCTCAAAGGAAAATTTCCTTCAATCCCCAGATTTCTAACATTGCAGCAATTTAAAGCTTTGGCAGAGGCATGAAATATTTTTTTGAGTCTACAGTGCACGCTACATATTTACTGGTATCATGATGCTCATGAAAGTAGAACAAACATGAATCATAGAATCATAGAGTTGGAAGAGAACTCATGGGCCATCCAGTCCAACCCCCTGCCAAAAAGCAAGAAAATCGCATTCAAAGCACCACCGACAGATGGCCATCCAGCCTCTGTTTAAAGGCCTCCAAAGAAGGAGCCTCCACCACACTCCGGGGCAGAGAGTTCCACTGCTGAACAGCTCTCACAGTCAGGAAGTTCTTCCTAATGTTCAGATGGAATCTCCTTTCTTGTAGTTTGAAGCCATTGTTCTGCATCCTAGTCTCCAGGGCAGCAGAAAACAAGCTTGCTCCCTCCTCCCTATGACTTCCTCTCACATATTTATACATGGCTATCATGTCTCCTCTCAGCCTTCTCTTCTTCAGGCTAAACATGCCCAGCTCTTTAAGCCGCTCCTCATAGGGCTTGTTCTCCAGACTCTTGATCATTTTAGTCACCCTCCTCTGGACACATTCCAGCTTGTCAATATCTCTCTTCAATTGTGGTGCCCAGAATTGGACACAGTATTCTAGGTGTGGTCTAACCAAGGCAGAATAGAGGGGTAGCATGACTTCCCTGGATCTAGACACTATACTCCTATTGATGCAGGCCAAAATCCCATTAGCTTTTTTTGCCACCACATCACATTGTTGGCTCATGTTTAACTTGTTGTCCATGAGGACTCCAAGATCTTTTTCACACATACTGCTCTCAAGCCAGGCATTGTCCCCCATTCTGTATCTTTGCATTTCATTTTTTTCTACCTAAGTGGAGTATCTTGCATTTGTCACTGTTGAACTTCATTTTGTTAGTTTTGGCTAACATTTTTTTAACTGGAGATAAAACCTTTGTAGGAATCTCAAGGTTCTCCTGACCAACTTTATGGTCAACATCCACACACCTAGAAATTCCTTGAAACTGTTAAGTATATCCAAAAAAAGGTGAACCTACGACTGTAGAAGGTTGACTACAAAGGAAAAATCATTGTGAGTATTCTTATTTGGCAGACAAAGCCCTCGTTCTGTTTTCTTCTATACCCAATAATTACAACACTGGTTTTCTCCATCCATCTGTGTGGGATTTTTAGATATTTCTAATACTTTCAGCCACACATCTCATTTAACATTTTTCTGTCGTCCTCTTTCTCTTGCAGCTGAGTCAAAAATATGGTCCAGTATACACTTTGTACCTGGGCCCCCGACGGGTTGTGGTTCTTTGTGGGCATGAAGCACTGAAGGAAGCTCTGGTGGACCATGGTGAACAGTTCTGTGGAAGGGGAAAGATAGCTCCTGTTGAACGGACCTTCAAAGGTTCGGGTGAGTGGACTAAATCTAGTGTGGCTTCCAAATCATGGCCACAATCCTTCTTGTCTGGTTACAAAGGCCCATATCACTACTCCAGGGTTCACAATGGTGCTGTGATATAGTCTCTTTCCCACAGGGTAGAAAGAGGGAAATTTAGGTACCACTTATGCAGGGAGGCTAATTTAAGTACGAGGGGTATGTTTTAAAGTAAGATCTGTTTTGTTGTAGACACTAGTAGTTCGCGCGCATACCGCAACGAGAGCGTGTGTCGTGTACCGGCATGCCTCGGGAACAACTGTGCTCAGTTTCCGCTCTGTAGCTAACCTGTACGGTTCTGTTCTGTGCTTTAAAAATGTTTAAGACTATCAACTCCCCCGCCGCATGTGAGGTTCGCTCAGTGATACGGTTTTTGTCAGCAAGGAACCAGCCTGCTGCAGAAATTCATCGACAGATTTGTGAAGTGTACGGTGATACTGTTATGAGTGAAAGCAAAGTGCATAAGTGGGTACGACAATTCAAAGATGGCCGTGACAACGTCCATGATGAGGACCGCTCCGGTCGCCCTTCTTTGATTACAGACGATTTGGTGGCTTCAGTTGAAGCGAGGATTCGTGAAGAGGGTATTTTAAAATTGGTTCAGAGGTATGATAAGTGTTTGAACAAACTTGGCAACTGTGTCGAAAAATAGAGTGAAGTATGTACTTTCTGAAAATAAATTTACTTTTTTGAAATAAACTTTCGTTGTGTACTTATGTTCAAACAGACCTTACTTAAAAAATACCCCTCGTAATTTATGATGCCATAAAAATCTCCAGCAGCATGCAAAAGAATGAGGAAGTACTCCATCGGTATCACAAGTGGACAGTGAAGCGACAGCTCCTCCGGTGGCCAGAATTCAAACATACCCTCATGAAGCTGGAAAGTTAAATAGCCTCTGTGTCTTTTTATATATGTTGTATATCTGTGGCATTGAATGTTTGCCATGTATGTGTGCATTGTGATCCATCCTGAGTCCCCTGCGGGGTGAGAAGGGCAGAATATAAATACTGTAAATAAATAAAATAAATAAACATTGCTTTTCTGTTCCATCTGGGGAGGAACTCTCCAGTGCATACCTGCAACCACAATAAACTCCAATAACTCTGCCTCCAGGAATTGTTATGGCCAATGGAGAGCGCTGGAAGAAGCTCCGTCACTTCACTCTCGTCACGTTGAAGAATTTTGGGATGGGGAAATGCTCCATTGAAGAGCGAATCCAGGAAGAAGCGCAGTATCTGCTAGAGAAATTTAGAAAAACCAAAGGTTTGTGTTGACCTTGTCTAGCTCTTTCCATTGAGTTCAGAAACGAATATTGGAAGCTTTCATAGCCAGGGTAAAGCAAGAGTGGCAACCACTAACGGCTCTTTCTTTTGTGCTTTTTCAGGTCTGCCATTTGACCCCACCTACCTTCTAAGCTGCACAACTTCCAACATTATTTGCTCCATTGTCTTTGGCAGACGTTTTGAGTATGAAGACAAAACTTTTCTCTCCATGTTGGATCTGACAAACAAATTATTTTTTGAGTTGAGCACTCCTTGGGCAAAGGTTGGTCCATGAAGTCACGAAGAGTCGGAAACGACTGAACAAATGAACAACAACAATGGTCTCTGAGGCAGCGTATTCCACCATTCTAACCATCAGGAGGTTCTTCCTAATGTTTAAATGGAATCTCTGTAGATTGAATGCATGGCTCCTTGTCCTAGAGCAGCATAAAGCAAGTTTGCCCCTTCCTCAATGTGCCATCCTTTCAAATATTTAATATTTAGTCATGCCCTGTGCTGTCATATCCCCTTCTGTTCTCCAAGCTAAACATATCAATCTGGCTAAGGCACACTGCACAGGGCATGACTTCCAGAACTTTTACCATTTTGGCCCATACGTTTTGGGCCAAAACGTTTTGGCCCATACGTTTGTCTTCATACGTTTTGAGTATGAAGACAAAACCTTTCTCTCCATGTTGGATCTGACAAACAAATTATTTTTTGAGATGAGCACCCCTTGGGCAAAGGTAAGAAGGCACAGCTGAAGGAAGGGGTTTTTCTATTCAAAGACCAACGCAGAGTGACCAATAATGAGAAGAACTACCTCTGCAGAAGATGACAAATAAAATAGAGGTGCAAAGAATATTCACTAATATTCTCATGCAAAAACATATAGCGGTACATTGATGAGTGTGTGACAATGCAAACGTGTAGAGCTTGATGCACATTGGCACTCCCTAGCTGGTATCCCAATGTGTTTTGAATCCCGCTTGAATAGGAGACATAGAGTTGGAAGGCCAACAAAGGTCATCCAGTTCAACCTTCTGCCATGGTGAAACACACAATCAAAGCACTCCCATTAGATGGCTAACAGCCTTCTGTTTAGAAACCTCCAGTTAACTCAGGTAGCATATTTCACTGCCAAACAGCTCTACCATCAGGAGGTTCTTCCTAATTTTTAGATGGAATCTCTATAGTTTAAATGCATGGCTCAGTGTCCTAGACTTTAGAGCAGCTGAAAATGAGCTTGCTCCCTCCTCAATGTGACATCCTTTCAAATATTTAAACATGGCTATCATGCATCCTGTTAGCATTCTCTTCTCCAAGCTAAACATACTCAGCTGCCTAAGACACTTCTCATAGGGCACAACTTTCAGAACCTTTACCATTTTGGCCCATCTCTGGAAACATTCCAACTTGGCAATGTCCTTCTTGAATTGTGGTGCCCAGAGCTGGACACCCTCTTCCAGGTGAAACTGACCAAAACAAAATAGAGTGGGACTATGTATTGTCGAAGGCTTTCATGGCTGGGATCACTGGGACGTTGTAGGTTTTTCAGGTTGCATGGCCATGTTCTAGAAGCATTCTAGAATGCTTCTAGAACATGGCTATGCAACCCAAAAAACTTACAACAACCTAGAGTGGGACTGTCACTTCCCTTGGAAGATGATGGAACTTTGCTGAGAAAGCCAAAGAAGATAAAGACATAAAGGAAGGGTAGAATTGAAGGAGTTAAAAAAGAAAACAGAAATTCTCTACCAGTCAAAATAGCAGCACAACAAGGGGCTTCAACACCTTCATCCATACACTCTACTCCTATTGATGCAGCTTGTGGTCTATTCTGGATCCATCCAGACAGGCCCATATCTCGGGATCTGTCTCAGTTTTACCGGAGGAATCCAAACAACGGCCTCCAGTAAAACCGAATTGAATTGGAACAAACAAAGATCCGGATCTTACCAGGTGTAAGCTCTGTGTAGATTGAACCCGGGGACCACGATTCCTGGGCCCAATTCACACAGCCATCTCAGTTTTTCACACTCCAGGAGCCCGGAAAACAGAGAGGGCACCCACCCCCTCCCTTCAATCCCCAAATTTAGGCCCTAAAACTTACCTGAAAACCACACACATAGCCTGCTTGTAAAGTTCTCTTGGTGCACTAAAACGCTGTGTGAAGAGAAGGGGAAGTGGGGAGGGATTTTCCGTGCTTTTTGGAAGCTCCCATCCACCAAGGACGCCTTTCTCTTTTAGCATCCCTGTCCATGGGATAATACTTAGTTTTTCTCTGACTTTACGGTGCCATTCTACCCACAGAATCTCTGTGTTTGCAGTTAGGATCACAGCCATAATTATTTTTGCACAGAAGAATTTCCAGTTCGAAAGTTTGCAACATTCCCCACCCCCAAAAGATCCTGAAAGTATGCAAAAAATACTCTACTCTTTATCTTACCCAATGAGGAGAAACCTTTCTGGAGTCTCAGGGCCATTCCACACAGCCATATTATCCAGAATATCAAGGCAGAAAATCCCACAATGTCTTCTTTGAACTGGGTTATCTGAATCCACACTGCCATATATTCCAGTTCAAAGCAGAAAATATGGGATTTTATTCAGCTGGTTCTTGCGTATAGGAACAAAATAAGCAAGAAATTTACACCCTGACAGGAAAAAGAAAAAAAAAGGAAAAGAAAAAAATCTCAGACTATTTTAATTTTAATTTTTTTGCATTATTTTACCAAAATGCATGAGATTACCATTTTTATGCTGCTCATGGATGAAAAAAACAATAACTTTTGCTCTTCTTTCTAGCTGTATGATATGTATTCTGGCATCATGCAGTACTTACCTGGGGGAGACAGTCGTATCTACAACCCCCTACAGGAGCTGAAAGCCTTGATTGATGAAAGAATCAAAATCAACCAGGAGACCTTAGATCTCAAAAACCCAAGAGACTTTATTGATTGCTTCCTCATTGAAATGGAGAAGGTATTACTTGTCACCCAAGGAAAAAAGGATGCGGTGTTAAAGTGGAACTCAACTGGATCTATTATTTGAGTTCTGGAAATGGGAGGATGAAGAGGAAAACGAAAAACACCCAGATGATACAGATTTTCAATGTGTAATTGGCCTCCACAAGTTTGATTAATATTTTTTCTTTGGGAATCTCTAAGTCTTTCTATGTAATTTGGCTCCAGGGTGACCTTAGAGTTGTGGTGGAGGACCTAGAGATTCCTAGAGTAAACTTTTCTCTAAGCCAGTGGTTCTCAACCTGTGGGGACCCAGGTGTTTTGGTCTACAACTCCCAGAAATCTCAGCCTGTTTACCAGTTGTTAGGATTTCTGGGAGTTGAAGGCCAAAACATCTGGGGACCCACAGGTTGAGAACCACTACTCTAGGCATCGGTAGGTGGAAGTTGACCAAGGAGGCATGCTGGAAGACCTAGAAATTCTAAGAGATGAGTTTTCTTGAATTTGTGGGTCTTCTACTTTCATAAGGTTGGAACACTCCTAAACCCAGAGCTTACTATATAGTTTGAGGAGCAACTTAGAATGTTCCTAACCATCATTTAGGGCAGTGGTTCCCAACCTTTTGTCCTCCAAGTGTATTGGACTTCAGCTCTCAAAGCCCCTGGCTCAGAGACCCTTGAGGCCTCCTTCACTAGAAGTCTTGGCATTTGGTCAAGTTGGTTGATGTTTCCTGGGTTGAATTCCAAAACACTTGGAAGACATACAGTTGGGAACCACTGGTTTAGAGCAGTCATCCTCAAACTGTGGTCCTCCAGCTGTTTTGTCTTCCAACTCCCAGAATTCCTGAGATTGGCAGTTAGAGACTTCTGGGAATTAGAGTCTCAAAGTGCTGTGGGCTGAAGTTTGAGAACGCCTGGTTTAGAAGAATGCAGCATAAATTTCTCGTGATTTCTGAGGTACTGAATACCTTCTTGCACAACGTTAAAAATGCATATGCTCCTGATAGGTCATAAACAGGATTCTAGGTTTGGACTGGATAAGATAAGTAATAATATCCTCTGCCATGCATTTGCTAATAGATCGCCTCTTCCTTTATTCTCTTGAAGGAAAAAGGAAACCCTTCCCCTGAATTCACAGTGAACAGCTTGACCCTCACAGCTCTCAACTTATTCACAGCTGGGACAGACACTGTCAGCTCCACCCTGAAATATGCACTTCTCTTGATGATGAAATACCCAGAAATGGAAGGTATGAAGGTGGGCAAATCCAAGGGAAATACAAATTTAACTCAAACCAAACCCTGCCTGCTTTTTGATGTTGCAATAATAGTTTGAAATGACTAGAAATATGAGGCATTAGTGCTAGCAAGAGACCAGGATAAATGTACTCAGTGTGATGGTACGCCCAAGCCTTTGGGGAAACTATATTGTCTGGCTTTACTTGGGGGCCCTCTGTGTACCTTCTGTTAAGATTAAGACCCTTAGCAGACAGAGGCACTTTGAGCCAAGGTGAAAAAATAACAAATGAGTTTACTGAAACAAGATGAATAAAGGGTTAACTCCACCTAGGACTATCATAAGGTAGCTTAAAACAATACATTAGAAAAGGAGATTTTGCTGGCTGCAATCATCTCTCTGTAATCTTCTGCCTCTGATGCAAAGCGATAGTTATAAATTGTCTTAATCTTCTTTACTGTGAAACTTAGACTGGCCAAAAGCTTCTGTTATCCTTTGGAGTGGTGGTATAAAAATACTGCTAAATGCAGGTGCTAAGAATGCCTGTTTTTGGATTGCTTGGCCTAGGATTACCAGACGATGCCCCAAGCCTCTAGTGACTTTAGAAAAGGGAGGAGTCCAGCAAGAGAGCTCTATACAGGGAAATGGAATCGACCAACTAAAGCTGGCCTCTGGAGGGTGTTATGCTCTACCCAAAAACTAATACAGAGGAAGGTATCTACACTAGTCAATAAATCTATGAATAGGGGGAAACTAAAGCAAAGAAAAGGAAAGGGTAGAGCCAAGACTTCACACTCAGCCTACTTTGTTCAAAACTATATAGACTGAAGAACCAATATCTTCAGATCCCACACCCCATAGCAATCTTCCAATGATATAGTGCCAGGACTCGGTCTGCATTAAATTTCTCTGACTGATTACTCTGCAATATATTTTCTCAATATCTTTACAGAGAAAGTGCACCAAGAAATTGACAATGTTATTGGTTGCAATCGTGTCCCTGCTGTCAAGGACAGGGTGAACATGCCCTACACAAATGCTGTCATCCATGAGATCCAAAGGCTGGTAGATATCCTCCCTGCAGGACTGCCTCATAAGGTGACTGAAGACACTCAGTTCTGTGGCTACCTTCTTCCCAAGGTAGACTGAAGTGGTTTGTATGCAGTGGGAGGGAGAAAATGGGGATACATCTGTGAGATCTTCATCACTTTCTTCCATCACCCCTTCATTGACAATTCACTTCTCTGTCTTGTTTTATCAGGATACTAACATCATTACCTTACTAGGCTCAGCTTTGCATGACCCCAAATATTTCAGTGACCCTGAGACATTCAACCCTGAGCACTTTCTGGATGAAGAAGGAAGTTTTAAGAAGAATGATGCTTTTGTGCCATTCTCCTCAGGTAGGGCTCATTGCCATGTTCTATTTGCTTTATGCAGCTCAGGAGGTTGGCTCTGAAGTCTAACTGCAAACTTCTTTCAAAACTAAGCAGTTCAATCGGACTTCCTTTTTTGTAAATGGTGATTGAGGCACAATTTTTGTGACCATGCAGTTACTAAAAATGGAGCAGTCATGATTCAGTAATTCTACATAAGTGGTTCTCAACCTTCTTGATGCTGCAACCCCTTAATACAGCTCCTCATGTTGTGGTGACCCCCAAACATTAAATTATTTTTGTTGCTACTTCATAACTAATTTTGTTACTGTTATTAATCATAATGTAAATATCTGATATTTTCATTAATTGGACCAAATTTGGCACAAATACCTGATACGCCCAAATTTGAATGCAGGTTGGGGGGCTATTGATTTTGACATGTGAGAGTTATTGTTGCTGGGATTTATAGTTCACCTACAATCAAAGAGCATTTTGAACTCCACCAATGATGGAACTGAACCAAACTTGACACACAGAACTCCCATGATCAACAGAAAATACTGGAAAAGTTTGGTGCGCATTGGCCTTGAGTTTTGGAGTTGCAGTGCACCTATATCCAGAAAGCACTGTGGACTCAACGATGGATCTGGACCAAACTTGGCACAAATACTCAATATGCCCAAATGTGAACACTGCTGGGGTTTGGGGAAAACAGGGTTTTACATTTGGGAGTTGTAGTTGCTGGGATTTATAGTTCACCTACAATCAAAGAGCATTCTGAACCCCACCAATGAAAGAATTGAGCCAAACTTCCCACACAGAGCCCCCATGTTTTCTGATGGTCATTGGCGACCCCTCTGACACCTCCCTCATGATTCCCCCCTGCCCCCAGGAGCCAATCCCCAGGATGAGAAACGCTGCTCTACATGATAAATCCCTGACTGAAATACAGAATGAAGACCCTTGATCCATAGCTGTTGGTTATTTTCCAGTTCATACTGTACCATTTTACTAACCTGTAATCCTTTGTTTTGTTTTTTTGTCCTGTCACCAGGGAAACGTGTGTGCGTAGGAGAATCTATGGCCCGGATGGAGCTCTTCTTGTATTTCACCACCATCCTGCAAAGCTTCACATTGAAATCCTCTCTTGCACCCACAGATATTGACATTACTCCTCAACAAAATGGCTTTTTAAACGTTCCTCCCATCTATGAGCTGTGTTTGATCCCTCGCTAATCTTGCCATTGGCCCTCTTGAGGATCATGGCATGAAGAGTCTATTTACAACTTTTCTAGTAGATTATGCAATTGTTTTGGTGATAATGTAGAATAAAATATATTTTATCATAGCCTGCATTTGACATTGTTATTGCCATGTGTATGCACCCTGCTTACAAATGTTAAAAACATTTAAGGGATCCTAGTGTTTAGTCATGGATTAGTGGAATTGGTTGATAACAATTTAATTTCCTAGGAGCTCCCGGTGGCGCAGTGGGTTAAACCGCTGAATTGCTCAACTTGCAGATTGAAAGTTCACAGGTTCAAATCTGGGGAGTGGTGTGAGCTCCCGTTGTTAGCCTCAGCTTCTGCCAACCTAGCAGTTCAAAAACATGCAAATGTGAGTAGATTAATAGGTACCACTCCAGCAGGAAGGTAAATGGTTCCAAAAAGAGTAGGACAAGGATACTCCTTTTGAACACAAGTACTTCTATGAGTATTCAAAATGCTCTTCAGGGAAAAAAAGGGGGGGGGAGAGGAATGAAAATTAAAGAGGGAAACTATGAGGGAAGAGCCTTCAAAATAAACAATAAGAAATGAAGGGGTACAAGGAGAAAAGGGGGAAGCTCTTTTAAATGAATGAGAATGGAAGGATGCCACTGACATGAAGGCGGTTTCCTGATGAGATGTTGTAGTTGTAGTTGTTTTAATAATAAGAAAGGAAAAGAAGGGCGGGGAGAAGAAAGTAAAAGGATGAAAGGAAAGAAGACAAAGGAAAGAGGGGATCGCATGAAAGCTTAGAGGAGCGGTTCTCAACCTTCCTAATGCCGCAACCCCTTAATACAGTTCTTCATGTTGTGGTGACCCCCAACCATAACATTATTTTCATTGCTACTTCATAACTGTCATTTTGCTACTGTTATGAATCGTAATGTAAATATCTGATATGCAGGATGCCCATATTTTCATTCACAGGACCAAATTTGGTACAAATACCCGATACGCCCAAATTTGAATACTGGTGGGGTGGGGGGTTGATTTTGTCATTTGGGAGTTTTAGTTGCTGGGATTTATAGTTCACCTACAATCAAAGAGCATTCTGAACTACACATAGAATTGAATCAAACTTGGCACACAGAACTCCCATGACCAACAGAAAATACTGGAAGGGTTTGGTGGGCATTGACCTTGAGTTTTGGAGTTGTAGTTCACCTACATCCAGAGAGCACTGTGGACTCAAACAATGATGGATCTGGACCAAACTTGGCACAAATACCCAATATGTCCAAATGTGAACACTGGTGGAGTTTGGGGAAAATAGACCTTGACTTTGGGGAGCTGTAGGTGCTGGGATTTATAGTCCCCCCCCCCAAATCACAGCAGGAGGAAGGCTTTTGGTGGGAGCATTCACCATCTGTTTCCAAAAAGAAAGAGAAGGACAGGTGAAGAGATGTTCAGCCTTCTCTGCCAAATGGATTCCTAAGACCATAAAAAATATATGTTTCGACCCCTCTGAAACTCTTCTCATGACCCCCCCCCCCCCGGGGTCCTGATCCCCAGGTTGAGAAATGCTGGCATAGAAGGAAGAACAAAGGGGAGGGAAAGGAGGAAGAAGGAAGAAGGGAAGGAAGGAAAGAGGGAAGGAAAAAGAAGTGATGAGATAGGAAAGAGGGAAAGATATGAAGAGATGGAAGGAAAGAACAAGTGAGAAGTTAAATTAAATCCCCTAAGTTGCCCGGGGCAAGTCAAAAGAGGGTGGGGGAAGGAGCTGAGAAGAGTTGAAGCAGATCTCTCTTGTGAGGGAGTTCCATAGCCTAGATGCAACCATCAGGGAGGTTCTAACACATCCTCACAAGACAATCCTGGGAGATTGATGGGACATAGAGAAAACCTAGCATCATAATACTTTAGTAGAATGATATGGGACATACAGACTTTCAGACCATCAGATGATTTCAGCAGCTTCTTCCTCTGAAATAGAGGCCACAGCACCCAGTAGTCTTTGGCAGCCTCCCATCTACAGTAAGTACTGGCCTGGCCTGATCCAGGTTAGCTTCTAAGATTAGACAGGATCTAGGACCTTTAGGGTAATGGTTCCCAAACTTTGTCCCTGTTTGGAACTTCAAGTCCCAATAGCCCCAACCAGTCTGGCCAAAAGTCAGGAGTTGAAGTCCAGATCTGACTACCCTTCAGATAAGTGGGTCTAGATCAGCAACTACTGCAGTTAGAGACCTCAGATTTTGGGAAACTTACTTTAACACCTGACTGGTACTACAGCTAAAATTGGAACAAAATTGGAGGCATGATGGCTGAAAGGTTTAGACCACTTGGAATGGATTGGCCCAGCTGAAGTCCAAAATTCCAGTACTAATTCACTAAACTACAGGCTTCAACAGTCCATCATTTTTTCTTGTTCTCTACGATTCTGCTGTCCACACCAATAATCCAAACATTCATTTTCTCAACTCGTTATGTATGGCATATTATGTTCTAATTGCTTACCATCTTACCAGCATCAGGTTTATAATTCCATAAGGTTGTCACTATACCATTTAACACTATTATTGTTATTATTTCTTATTTGAATGAAATGTATTCTGTGTTTTCACTGTTTTGTAAAGCAAGCAGATAAAACTCATGTCCCTGCCTGCCAAAGTTGCGCCTTGTCCACCTTCAAAGCAGGTCAGGGGTCCCTGTTTTGGACAGAAAAGAAAGAATGTTGTTTGAGAATGTGGCTGAGCCAGTGGATGGACATATTCTGATGAGAGGCATCTCTTCTAGCAAGCTTTTCCTATTCCATCCATTGCTGCCTGAGCTCAGCTGAACCAGCATATTTTGCTAAGAAGGGCTGGTGTTCTGTATGGAATATACAGATTTTTAACCTAGAGTTACAGAATTGTTCAGTAAAACAATGTAGTCTTAGTATAAAACCAAGTAATTTCTGGCAAGACACATTTAAAAGTAGGCAGCTGCATGGGATGAAAGAGGTCCGTGCAGCTGCTGATCCTGGTGCAAGAAAGATGATTTTGTCATCACCCTTCTGCTAGCAAGCAAAACAACAACCAGAAGCAAAGCCCTATATGAATTCCTCATAAATAATAAT